CACCACAAAAAATGTCATAAAATCGGGTTGGTCATGTGATGGCCTGTTTAAAAATCGGCACTACTACCGTAATTATGGACTCAGTTGAGTTGAGGACTATCTATATCGGATTGCATCCCTATCCACCGTCCTCCATTGACAGGACCTCATTCCCTCAGATTCTGGTTTTGTTATCCTGTATGTTTGGAACTTCTTGGAATACTGCCATGATGATATCTCTTTTATTTTCTATTTCAGAACCAATCTTTTCATTAAACCAATAATTGTCATGTGATACTCTATCTAAACCTCAGCTTGTGACACTGAAACAACCACATTTTTGTTTCTCTGTGACACCTGTTTTGTGTTGAATTTTGAGTTGTAAGTTCTTGCATAACTTTAAAATGTCTAATTAACACTCTCTAAATATTTTTATTTGTGATCAGAGCATAATATTTGGCTATTAGTTAAGATATTCTGTACAAAGCAGATGCAAGAAAAGTAATTATACAGAGAGAAAGGTTATTTAACAAAACTATCATTATAATAATGTGGAGAAATGCATTAATTGATAAGTTAAAAATAGCTAACTTTTTGTTTGCAACTGAAACATAAAATTATACATAAACCCTAATAAAATGAGATGTCAATTTTATTTAATTGTAATTGCTAATATATGAATTATAGTTTGGGTGGATGAGATAGTTGTAATACTTAGGTTTGCTCTTTCACTAGTTTTTATATTATTATTATTATCATCATCATCATCATCATCATCATCATCATCATCATCATCATCATCATCATTATTATTATTATTATTATTATTATTATTATTATTATTATTATATTACAGAATGTGCTTGCTTTTTGGCTTTCCCTTGAGTGGTCTCAAATTAACAACCATCTATAATAAAAATAAACCACAAGAATCAGCAACAGTACAAAGCATCAAACTTTTGAATCCATATCTGAGTCATCTGCTGCTTTTGAATTTCATGTTGAAATAAAATTGTGAAGATTGTCATTGTTAAATGGACAAAGTTAAATAAAGTGGCTTCAGCTGTTTCAGTCATGTATTTATGACCTCCCAAAATTAAGTGATATAATATCATAGACTTGGAAAGCGCATGCAGGCCTTCAAGTCCATCCTCCAGATGAAAGTCACATCTGGCTTAAGGTCTCTATCCAGCCTCTTCCTGAACATATCCAGTGAGAGAAATTCCTCCCTATGAATTACTGTGTAACTCCTCATACCATTAGAAAATTTCTGCTAACATTTAACTGGAATCCACTTGCCGTTATAGTAAAATCATTATTCTATATCTTGCATACTGGAACAAGAAAACAAATTATAATTGTCTTCTATGTGACACCCCTTTAGTGCTAGAAGGCTATCCTATGTCCTTTAATAAGCATTTCACAAAGCTAAACAGACATGTCCTCATATACCTTATTTTCTAATCCCGCAATTATCCTTATTGCTTTTCTTTCTATCTCTTGATTTCTCTGAATTCTTCTTAAAATGTGCTATACAGAACTGGATGACATACTGAAGGTAGGACAGAGATGAAATATTTATTTCTATTCTTTCTAAACTATATTCCCATTATTGTAATCTATGAGTATGATAACTGGTACAATAAAACACGACACCCATGTACACAGACAAATAGAACTGCAACTTGATGGGCATTTAGTTGTAGTTTGCTTTCAGGTTAAATAGTGCATAGTGTATTGTTCTGGTACAATGCAAGTATATAAAGAGATAACTGGCTATTTCATTATAAGAACAATAATAAAACACTAAGGAAATGGAGAGAAAGAGAGGGGAAGAGGAGAAGGGGGAGAGGTAGTAGTAGCTGTAGTAGTTAAATAATACTGGGCAACCAGTACTATTTAACAACTGGAAAAGAAAAGTAAAATAACCAATGTAGTACAGAAAAATAAAAAAAGACTGGTAAACTTAACAATACTATAAATAAATGCAGAAATTTGTTGATGTGTCTGTTTAAAAATAACATTTTTTCTGTTCATACATTGTAATTGTTTAATTGTTCATAATCAAGTAGTTCTTTAAATAAATGCGAAGCAAAATACAATAAACCCTTGTGTCTAAAATATTCTACTGTCAAGAAAAGAGCCAATATGAGAACATATAACTAATATCTAAAATTCTGATATTTATCATTTGGAAGTTGGACAGTAATATTTTAAAGAACTTTTCATCTCCAAAATAATTAGAAGAAATTACCAATTCTGCAGAAGGATCTACTTAGAATAGAAGGGACCTTGGAGGTCTTCTAATCCAGCCTTCTGCTTGAGCAGGAGAACCTATTCCATTTCAGACAGGTGGCTGTCCAGTCTCTTCTTAAAAACGTCCAGTAATGGAGTGCCCACAATTTCTAAAGGCAAGCTGTTCCACTGGTTAACTGTCCTCACTGTCAGGAAGTTTTTCTTTAATTCCAGGTTGCTTCTCTCTTTGGTCAGTTTCCAACCATTGTTTCTTGTCCTGCCCTCTGGTGCTTTGCAGAATAGTTTTGATGCCCTCTTCTTTGTGGCAGCCCCTCAAATACTGGAATACTGCTATCATGTTGTCCCTATTTCTTTTCTTTAGATTAGCCAAATCCAAGTCCTGCAGCCGTTCTTCGTATGTTTTAGTCTCCAGGCCTTTGATCATTTTAGTTGCTCTTCTCTGAACTTTTTCCAAGGTCTCAACATCTCTTTGGTTGCAGTATTCCAGGTGTAATCTTACTAGGGTTTTATAAAGTGGTACTAATACTTCGCATGATCTTGATTCTATGCCTGTTTATACAACCCAGGATTGTATTAGCTTTTTTGGCTGCTGCTGCACACTGCTGGCTCATAATCAAGTGATCGTCCACTAGGACTCCAAGGTCCCTCTCACAGTTACTGTTTTTGAGCCAGGTCTTGCCTAGTCTGTACTTGTACCTTTGATTTTTCCTGCCTAAATGTAAAACTTTGCTTTTCTCCACATTAAAATTCATTTTGTTGGATAGAGCCCATTGTTCAAATTTGTCAAGATCTTTTTGGAACCTCAGCTTGTCTTCTGGGGTATTGGCTATTCCTGCCAATTTAGTGTCATCTGCAAATTTGACGAGTTCCCCTTCTATTCCCTCATCTAAGTCATTAATGAAAATATTAAAGAGTACTGGGACTAAGACAGAGCCTTGTGGTATCCCGCTGCTTACTTTTCTCCATGTGGATGTAGCACCGTTGAGGACTACTCCCTGAGTACGGTTTGTCAGCCAGCTACAGATCCATCTGATGGTGTTGTTGTCTATCCCACCTTTTTCTAGCTTACTAAGCAGCAGGTTGTGGTCTACTTTGTCAAGTGCCTTACTGAAATCTAAGTATACTATGTCCACAGCGTTTCGCTGGTCTACTAGTTTAGTCACTTTATCAAAGAATGAAATAAGATTGGTTTGGCATGATCTGTTTTTAATAAACCCATGCTGGCTGCTAGTTATAACTTTGTTTGCTTCTAGTTGCTCTCAGATCTGTTTTTTGATGATCTTTTTCAGGATCTTCCCAGGTATTGATGTTAGACTGATTGGTCTATAGTTTCTTGGGTCTGTTTTTTTTCCCTTTCTTGAAGATGGGAACCACATCAACCCTTTCCCAATCATCAGGTACTTCCCCAGTGCTCCAGGATTTTTGAAAGATTTGGTACAATGGTTCTGAGATAACATCTGCCAGCTCCTTTAGAACTCTGGGATGTAATCTGTCGTGTCCCGGTGAATTCTGGCTAAATGAGTATGATTTTGTTACAGCACCAACTATATTTGATTACTATAACAAAAAGTTTTAAATAAGTTCACTAGTCCTGAGTAATAGGAAACCTTTTGTTTGTTTTTCCACCCACTCACTCAAAATGATCCAATTCCAAATACTTGATAGAGATAAGTAACTAAGCTCATCAACTGCAAAATAACCAGTGGATGTTTTAAAATATTGTATTTACATACGATGTGTAAGATTTTTGGAGGTAAAAGACTAATTGATCGGCATGGGAAAAAAATAAACTCTAGGATTAAATGACACAAACTACATACAGATTAGTTCTGCAAGCAGAAATGTACAGTATACAGAGACAACCCGGGTGACTTTTTGTAATAATTGCCGATAACACATTCAAAACTAGTTAGCGAATGATATTGGCAGCTGTCTGATGGCAGAGAATGTGACAAATGGATACTGTACGCAATTTAGGGATATTGTTCAGCGCTTGCAAATATGGCTACGCTCTTCGGTGGCTCCTTAACAGTTCACCCAGGCTCCGGAGTGGGCCTTCACTCCCCAGAAAGACCACACTCTTTGCCACGTAATTGTTGCCCTGATTTCTGCAGCCAGAGTCGGCGGCTCTAACGTCCTACTATCGTTGGCTGCAATCCCATCCACCCGTTTTGCCCAACCTGTCGCAAGCCAACCGCTGCCTGGTTGCTGGATTAATAGTTTGGGGGCGGGGGGCGCCAAGCCCACCCAACTGCGTGATCCCAGTGACCGAGCTGACTTCGCAGGAGCCTCCATCGGATTGGACCTTTCCTGTCAGATTGAGCTCAGTTTAGGCCAGTGTTTCTCAACCTTGACAATTTTAAGGCATGTGGACTTCAATGCTGGCTGTGGAATTCTGGGAGTTGAAGTCCACATGCCTTAAAATTGTCAAGGTTGAGAAACACTGGTTTAGGCAGGGCCTTCCTGAGCTTGGGGTTCACACGTTAGTTAGCGGGGCTGACTCTAGTTCTCCGGCAAAGGTGCCGCGCTCCGGCCTTCCTCCAAAGCACCGTCCTCGGAGGAGAGGCGTCCAAAGCACTACTTTCGCTTTCGGCCGGCTCCTTTGGCGCGGCCCCAACTCTGCTCCGGGGAAACGAGGGCGGGGCGGCGCTGCCTATCTCAGTCACGCGGACGAAGGGCCGTGTAAACACCACCAGATGGGACCGCTGCCGCCGCCGCCGCGGGCGGCAGAAAGGGGCAGGCTGTTGCTCCCGCGGTCGCCGTCCTGCCGCTATGGAAGATAGCCTGGTCCGCGCCTTCGGGGGCCTCAGCCTCCAGCAGCCCCGCCGTGCCCGAGGCAGGCCCCCCGCTCGCCGTTTCAGCAAAAGCCTCTATTTGCTCCGCGGCCTGCCCGGGTCGGGCAAAAGTACTCTGGCCAGGTAAGCGTGTCTCGGCTTGCAGCCATTCCCGCTTCCTTTGATAGGTCGCGCCGGGGGGAGGGGGGGAGATCCTCGGGAGGAAGCCAGCGCGGCTCGGTGGAGGGGCCGCCGGGCGGACGCGGAAGGCGACTTCGAGGGTCGCCGGGAGCGATCTGAGATCTGGCGGCGAAGACCGCGGCGGCTTTGCAGGAAGCGCCGTCTCAGCCGAAGCCGCCTGGCCCGAGTTGATAGCGAGGCAAGCGGTTAGTCGCTGGGCGGGGTGCGAGAAGGAAGAAGCCGTTGTTCCGCTTTTGGGGTTTCCCCCCCTCCCCCAATCTTAAATCTAGTGGAGAGTTATCTTAAAGCAGTGTTTCTCAACCTTGACAATTTTAAGGCATGTGGACTTCAACTCCCAGAATTCCACAGCCAGCATTGCTGGCTGTGGAATTCTGGGAGTTGAAGTCCACATGCCTTAAAATTGTCAAGGTTGAGAAACACTGTCTTAAAGGAACAGGGGTGGGGAAGGGCCATTAATGGTGGCCCAGAGAGAAGTCGGAGCCAATCGGGGAAAGCAGAGAATAATGCGGAGAGGGGTGGGTGGGCGCGAAGGGTACTTTGACCTCCCGGACCCGTCCTTGTATTCTTAAGTCCATCTTAACGCCTGCAGTGATAAGCACCAACAGAAAGCCTCAACGTGACGGGGTGAGGAGTTAGTAAATGTAAGGAAGCAGCCGAAGCTAGGTGGGTCAATGACAACATCTTTTTAGCTGAAATTTGGGTGCCACCCACTCTTCAAACTCTGGAACTTATTTGGCAAAGTTGCACTGCTATGTTTGAGTTGCCCTGAGGTGGTGGGTGATTTTTCTCCAGACTATGCAACTATTGGAAGGGGCAATTGCCACCCGCCTGTATCTTTGATAGAAATTATGCTTGTTTTGCCTGCTGTGATTTGGAGAAGTGATTAGATTGTGAGAATGCACTGTGAAAATGGAATATTTATTATTTCCATTATATACAATACTTTAGCATTGAGCCCAGTGACATCAGTTAATATATTTTTTCCATAGAACTTAAATTTTTAGATTGGCAGCTGAACCCGGTCAGAGCCACTCTTTCTGTACATAGCAGCTACTTTATAACTTCAATAAATATTTCATACTGAATGCATATCAAAAGGTCACTGCTTGTATACAAGGAAGTGTACATTTTGTCATGCGCTAATAATCCCTGACAATTTCAGACAATGTTTATTTTTAGTTCTGGAAAATGAAGTCCAGACTGCATATGCCAGGGATAAAAATTAGATATCAAAAGAATTTTGTACAAGTTGTGTGCATAATTTACTACTAATGATCTAATGGTTTCAGCTGTGTAAAAGTTCCATAATTGACAATTTTAATTCTTATTTACTAATTTGAAGAAGTATAACAAGCAGCAGATTTAAGATGAGCAATAGGAGTGTGATAAGAGTGCATTTGGAGAATTGTAATTTGTAATTTACCTTAATACTGGCTTTATTTAAAAAAAATAGTCCTCAAAAATTATTTTGCTTTACTGACTGAACAAAATCTATAATTTTGATAACAAAATAATGCTATAAACAAAACCAAAAAGCACATGCCAAACTGATCTTTCAATATTATGCAAATATTCACAAATCAACCCAAGTCAACAACTAACAGTATAAAGCAATCCATATATGTGATGAATTGAAATAAATAAAAGGGAGATAAAAAGAGTGGGAGAAGAAAATGCCTGGAAATGCATAGCATAAAAGTAACTCCCCTAAATTTGACAAATTGAAAGAGCTGCTATGTTCCCTTTGACCATATATTTCATTGCTACAATTCGGTTGTACTAATCTTCAGGATTTGAATGTAAAAGAAGACCTGGATTTCAGTTCTGTTTAGCAATTATAAAGACAGAGCAGGTCCTAAATTTAATTTTCATTTTTTATTCTGTGCCAAAATGGAATGCATTTTGGAAGGGTATTTCTGAAAAGATAGAGCGTGTGAATAATTGAATGTAAGTATTGGGATCCTCTATCTCAAATCCCTAGTGGAAAAGAGCATTGAAGAAAAGTTGAACTTTAATGCATCATGAAAAGAAAGCTATGCTATCTTTATAAAATATGTACTACTGTTTAAGAAAGGAAATTTTATACTTAGCCAACAAAAACCAAATGCACAGGTATATAGAATAGGCAGTAACTGTTGAGTAATCTCAGAGTTCTAGTGGACAGCCACTTAAGAACCAGCAATGTGCTGCAGCTGCCAAAAAAGCCAACACAGCTCTAGACTGTGTCAACAGTGGGATGGTATAAAGATTATGTGAAGTGTTGCAGGAGAAGAAGTAATGGATAGAAATGAATCAGGGAGGGAACCAACCTATAACTAAAGAGAAATTTCCTGACAGTGAGAACAATGAATCAGTGAAACAGCTTGCCCCCAGAAGTTGTGGGTGCTCCATCACTGGAGATTTTAAAGACAGGATTGGACAGCCATTTATCTGGAATAGTATAGGGCAGGGGTAGGCAACCTCGGCTCTTTTATGACTCATGGACTTCAACATAGCTGACTCAGGAATTCTGGGAGTTGAAGTCCATGAGTCATAAAAGAGCCGAGGTTGCCTACCCCTGGTATAGGGTCTCCTGCTTGATCAAAGGGTTGGCCTAGAAGATCTTCAAGGTCCTTTCTAACTCTGTTAAATAAATGTTATCGTGATGTGTTCTCGTCAAGCAAGACATTATGGAGTTTTATCTAATGAAATTTAGCTGAATTTAGTGGACTAATCAATATTATTTTAACTGAATTTAAGTTCAAATTTAATCTGGATTCAATCAGATTATTGAACTTTTTGGGGAGGAGAGAATTGTCCTTAACTATTTCCCTTTAAAGATGGAAATAGTTATCGCCTATCCATGGACTAACCTAGCTTTTTTTTATATCAGCCAAGGTCAGTAGTGCTTTATCTGCTGTGTCATAGATGAAGACAATATCAGTCTTGTAAGACCTTGTGAATAGGAGAAAATTTCAACTGGCATTGTATCTTTCAAATACAGGGTGAAACTTGCCTCAGAAAGCCAATAGAATCAACATCCTGACCTGGGTGTACTAAACCATTGTTTAAGAATCATTTATTAACTAAACCACAGTTATCTGAGTTCACAAATATATGCCCAGAATAGATAACACTTTAACTTAGCATAATGTGTGAACTCAATCGCTATGTGTTGGTATTCCTAATATTGTATATGTTGGGCTATTATTTTCATCTCCCCATGCTGATTATTTAATCTAGTATTGTGACTTAGGAATTGTGAGATTTCAGTTTTCCAACTTGATGCTTCTCAGAAGTGTTTGATTTCAATTCAGCTTCTGGGTAGACTTTTAAAGATCACATTGCACAACTTTTTGGACTCCCAGAAAGGAATTACATACGAAATATAGTTGTTTTGAATGGATATTTGTGCTGAAATGAGGGAATATCTGGTTTTGTCAGCTTAGTTTGCAAATGTACTGTATTTTGCTTTCCACTGTTTCTGGATATGCCAGGAATCATGGCAACGTTATACCCTTATGTGGTATATATATATCCAATGTACTGAGTTTATGTTCTTTATGTTGCTTTATATGTGAATGAAGTGACTTCCTTTGTTTAATTTGGAACTGTTGCTTCTTAGAGATAGGTTGCTGACTTTTTTATGAACAAAAATCAGTTATAAGGACTACCTTTAAAGTGCTGTGTTTCAGGGATCCCTAACCCCCGGACCGTGGACTAGTACCGGGCTGCGGCATACCAGCAACTGATCTGCACAAATAAGCAAAGCCCCATCCGTGGAATGCAGGCAGCACACAAAACCACGCACCCTCCGGTCCGCGGAAAAACTTGTCTCCATGGAACCGGTCCCTGGTGCCCAAAAGGTTGGGGACCTCTGTTTTAGAACATAATCAACCAAGTTATTTTTATTGTTACTTTGCACAGAACAAATACACTGATTCAGAAATTTAGTTATGCATCAAATTCACTGACTATCCCACCACAATCCCAAGGACTCTCGGTGCCTCACAAAAACGAGCACACATCATAACAATACAGACACATAAGATGATTAAAACACCCAAATAATTCATGGCATCAGGGCTGAAAAGCTCCATCTTCAACTTTGTCCAAAATGCAACCCCTTGAATGATTTCCACACTTTTTCACAGTAATAATCAGGCAGCAAATTGGATGACCTCTGATGGCAACATGAAGACTTTGGGAGAGAAGCTTCAGATTGTACACCTCTGCCCTGCTATAATATAGCTGTAGTTAATTATAAAAATGCATTTGTTTACTCAAGTAATTGCAAAAATGAAAGTATTGCATTTGACACTTACACCAAATGGCATTTAAGTGGTAGAAGTTTTTCTCTTGTGGCATCACGTTGTTGGATTCAGTGGTGATAACCAATCAGCACTTTGTTCTTTCTTGTTTGCTTGTCAGGCAACTGAAACGTGAATTTCCTAATGCAGTCATTTTTAGTACTGACGAGTACTTCATCACAGAAGATGGCACCTATGAATTTAATCCTGATTGTTTGAGAGATGCACATAAGTGGAATCAGGAAAGAGGCATGTATGACTGATTCTCCTTAACATTCCTCTTTATCTACTTTATCAAAGTGGCTTTCTAAAAGTTGATTAGAACAAAGCATCACATAATAGAATTAAGAACAGAATAATTCTAATTCTAAAATGAAAATTGATATGCATGGCTCTTGGAAATGGATTTCCTCTGCCAAGTCTATGATAAGTTCCAACTGGCTTCTAGGAGGATATTGAAAAATGGGTAGAAGTAAATGAAAAATAACTTGGACCCCTCCCCCATCCCAAACATTTTGATAAATTGTAGGACAGAAATGGCCATCTGGAAACATGAGCCTAGAACAGATGCAAAAAATATACTAGGGTTTGAAGGGTTACCTGAGTCTAAAGATTTGCTTTGACCTTAATTTTTCTTAGTTCATTCCATTTTTACTTTGACTGCCAGTATATCTTTGCACTATTTTCTTTTCAATATAATGCAGTTAATCCAGGTACTTTACAGTTAACAATACAAACATCTCCAGCTACATCCTGGGAAAGCAACTCTGATCTGTATGGAGTTAAGGAGCTTCTTAGATGTATTTTTGCAGAACCATTGATTTAGATTGCAGTGAAATCTAGATTCCACATGTTGAAGTGAAAAAAGATGCAAAAAGATGTAACATATTATTTTGGTATCATAAACCCTCTTACCTGATCAAAATTTGTCTAATACATGCCTACCCCAACTACAAAAATACTGGCTATCTCCATGTTATACCCTAAACATGAAGCTTGCCAGAACAGGAATTAACTGATTTCTTATATCAGCAATTAATGTATTTGCTGATTTTAAATGTAATGAGCAAGGTTTTCTAGTTCAGATGAATTAGAAATTGCAGATGATGAAAAAGGTTCTGGATTAATTACATCAAGCTGAAAAGTGATAATAGGAGCAATGTGAGGATAAAAAAATATGAACATAATGCTAGTATTCTTCATTAGTTTATATATAAATAGTTATATAAATATATAGTTTAAATTTAATCACTTCTTGTATGAAGAAAAATGTATAAAGAGTACATTTTTATCATTTTTGTACATGGGAATGCATATTTTTATTGCACATGTCTTGAATAGGATATGGAAGCATTACAACCAAGCACATTTAATTTTTTTTTAAGTAACAGTTTAACTGGTCTTCCATCCATAAGAGTTTCCAAGTGAATATATGTAGCATGAAAACTAATGTATCATAACAAAATTACAATAGGTAGAAAAATAAAAGTTATTAATCATAGTAAAAAGTCTAATATTAGTGGTGATCAAAGTCACCCACATTTTAAGTTTCAAAATGTTATTTGTTTAAATTTATTTAATTTATATCCCTGTCATGGTTCTGACAGATGAAACTCCTTGAAGAACTTCGAGGCATTGTTTACCTTAAAGAATCTTTATTCGAGTAGCATAGTATCAGCACATACATAGGCAAAGCCAAAATCTGAATTCCCCTCCCCTGAGCACATAGTATCAAAGCACAATTCCCTTCTCTAATTAACAGTCATAAATCACATTCTCCAATCAACCCGCCATTTCTTATCATCTCTTATTTCAAAAACCTTGGTTCTCACCCTAGTTGCAATATTGTTATGTCTAACTAAACTCCCATGCACATTCCTCCTCCTCCCCCCCAGTATCATCTAATTCTAACTCTAATTCTAAGAGTAAAACATAAGAAGGAAAATGGCTGCATCTCCATATATGTTGTCAAAGCAAGAACATCCGATGTTAGCTTTTGTTATTTTTATAAACAACTCAAGGTGGTGAACATATCTAATGCCACGTCTTCCTCCTGTTTTCCCTACAACAACCTTGTGAGGCGAATTGGGTTCAGAGAGAGTGGCCCAAGGTTACTCAACAAGTTTTCATCAGTAAGGCAGGACATGAACTCAGAGTCTCCTGGGTTTCTAACCTGGTGCCTTAACCATGAGACCAAATGGACAAATAGAAGTATTTTAATACAGATTAGAACAGGAAAAAACAGTGCCAATTATATTTCTCTGAAGAGGCTTCATAATTTGGAAATATCATCACTGCTCAGTGGCAGCACTATTATAATGGACCCTGGTGATCCTGCTTTGCTATGTGGGTTAAAAATCAGGTCTGTTGCTAAGTGCCTGGAAGCTGGCTTATTAGATTGGCCTTCCACTTTTGTCTAATATCATAGGGCAACTTTAAGAGGTTGGGAATTCTTGAGTTGCAAATATAGTTCTTGTCCCTACAGCTCTCAGTAGAGTAACTGGTGAGATTTATTTATTATTATTCATTATGACAGTTGACTTTTCTTCTGTTTCTTCTATTAAGAAAGCTCAATTTAGCTTTTCTGTACTACAGTAATATTATTATATCCAGTTTTAATGTGTTCTTTCTTTTCTGTTTTAATCTGAAGATATAATGTCAAAAAATATGAAATATGCTTCTTGAAAGTCCTTTGCAAATTATATCTCATACTTATTTGTAATGTAAATAGCCAATACTTCTGTTGCAGTCAAGCCCCCCAAACAGGTTGTCCTAGCTTAGTGATTTGCAACTGTGGTACAGGCCCTGGAAATCTCAAGTTCTTTTGTTATCTGAAGGATTTAATATAATTATCTTGATAACTAAAAACCTGTATCTTATTATGTTACAGCACATAAAGCTATGAAGAATGGGAAATCTCCAGTTATAATTGATAATACCAACATCCACGCTTGGGAAATGAAGCCATATGTGATAATGGTATGGAATATTGTGACCTCTTTGTAATTCTTAATAAGTGTGGGCTCAAAAGAAGCCTCTAACTGTGGTGATGAATTCTTAATTATTCTGTGTAAAGAAGTACTTCTTTTTAACTGCTTAGTGATATTGGTGACTATTAAAAATTAGATGCTGCCTAGCACATCAATTAAATAGAATCTCTGCCCCTCTTAGTAATAAAAATCACTTATGAATGTGATTCTCAAAAAAGTCAATCAATCTGCTAATTCCAATTTCCACTCATTTTTTTAATATAGTTCTGACAGCACCAACAGTATCAACAGGTAATTGTTTCAATATTCCTAGCTCACAATTGTCTGTTTTGAGAGCAATTTACAGATAACTGCATGTCTAACCAGCTTTGCTTCTTTTCTTGAGAAGCAATATTTTTAAGTCCTTGAGATAACTCATAGCAATGTTGGATTGCTATTTTGCTATGTTATTTATAATGCATTGATGATGAAAAGTCTTATATAATTAATGGTGAGTAGTTAGCAAAATCATGAAAAATCATACTGAAATTTACTGGAAAAAAATAGAAAAAGTATGAATAATATAGTTGTGCTTGAATAAATAATTCTGAGAAATAGAATAATAGACGTGTGTGGATTACAAAACATATTTTGCTTACGTTTCCAACAAAACAATTTGTTGTGTTTTAATAATATCTTAATAAAATGTTTCAAGCATTCTAGTCATTGAAAACAGTGGGAACTTCCCTTGTTTTTCATCCCAGGAATACAAGGTTAGATGGGATGCTACTCTACAATAATTCACAAAAAGAAAAATCCAACCTACAAAAGAATTGGACAGATTATTTTATTGTTCTTTTCAAAACATTAAAATTGAGTCTCTTAAGAAGTCATGGAAAGAATTATTCGTTTTAGTTGTTTTTGATAGATTACCACTCCACTGTTAAGCAAATTAAAGCAAAAAGGATTTTTTTAAAGTCAGTCTTCCATTCAGGTTGCTTTTTGCAGGACCTCTTGTCTGCGCTGTCTCTATTATGTTGTTGCAAAAAATGCTGCTCCTTAACTCTTGCATGAAGAGTTGACATGGGAAAATAACAAAAACTTAATAAAGTCTGCACATAATTATATCCTGAAGCTCGACTCAGTTCAATCTCACTCAAAAAAACCCACACAGAATATCCATATCCATTTAAATACATTCAAACATACGTCAAAATTCCCACTATGACATTCATAGTGATCTCTGTATTTACAGCCTAAGCTCCCAGCAACATTGGAAGTTAATCAGCTGTAGTATGCCTTGCCCTACAGCAGAGTTTGTCATGGGTCTGCAATCCTGAACAATGTGCTTAAGTAACAGCAGATTTGATCTGGCACTCCTAACGTCAGTCCATCCAGTCAAAGCCAATAGCAGTAGGTATATGACTAGATTAGTAAATCTGCTGATTTTACTAGCCTGGAAATAAATCCTGATTTATAAGTCACCAAGACCTAGTTTCTATGCTTGGAACAGCTATAACGCATGAGGCAATGCCTCTTACGACTAACAACTTTTGTGAGAATGCCCATTTCATGTAGAACTTAGTACTCTCAAAATGATTATTTCATGGATTGTCTTTTCAGGAAATGCTGGGTGAAGGAATTCAACTTGAATGAATCATTCCAAGAAAAAGAATTAGGAGCCTTTCTCTATGCTTTAGATTCATGCCAAATAAAGTCTTTTTAGGTGTTCATAAAAGGTGGGGAGGATACCATCACTCTTTTTTGATAGTTAAATTTTGGATAGTGCAGATTAACATGCTTGAGAAGCAAGTACAACCTACTTAACCAGGTCTGGTGCAGCTGTATGAGCTACTTTCATATAACATGCTGTTTTTAACTTTTATTTAGTTTTTGGGGGTTTAGTGTGTTGTATGCAGTTTATTATTCAGTGTATTGGGTTTATTCAGTAATTGGGTTAAATGTGTTGTGCAAGTCAAACCTTTGGTATTTTTTTCTTCCTCATGGTAGAGAAAAATATGAAAAATACTGCCTAATAGATTAAAACATAATAGTATTTTCTAAAACTGTAGCATGATAACAATTTGTTTTTCTTTAATCAGGCACTGGAAAACAGATACGAAGTTATATTTCGGGAGCCAGATACACGTTGGAAGTTCCATGTTCGGGAATTAGCTCGGTATATTTTACAACCAAATTTAGAAAAACCAGGCAGACCATTGTAATCATTGATTTGAATACTGATTTAGGCAAGAGCTGGGAGGCTGGTCCTGAGAAACAGCATATAGGAAAGTTGGCTTCTACTAGTCTAGCTGGAGACATCTAAATATTCATCCTGCTTATGTACCATAGTAGTGTAGTTTCTTGGATATATTGCAAAAATTGTGACCTTGAAACTCTGATTGCTACGTCACTATTATATCTCATGTGTCAGAAATGCAGTATATATCCCATTTTAAACATAATTTTCAATGTTTGAAAATATCTTGTAAATATAACAATCTACAAATAGCAGACATTTGTATTTAAAAATAAACCTGCAGCAATAATTAATAAAACATATAATGAGATTTGAATAGTAAGAAAGCTGGGAAAAACTAAATGTTATTTTTGAATTGGTAATTATTATTAATGTTAATGTTAATCTGTTAGTCTCCTAACAGTGAGAAAGTTAGGAGCAAAAGCTTCAATTGAGAAAGCATGATTTTTTTTTCTTCTGTGTGAAATATTATCTCACACAAAGCATATCCGGAGCTTTATATTCATAGATTTGGAAGGGACTATTTAGGCCACCGAGTGCAACCCACTGCTCAGGGCAGGAATCTAAATTAAAACATTACAATCTGAGGATTTCTATCTACTGAAGCTAATCACATCAGTTCCCTTGGCAATTGGTTCCATTGCTGAACCAATTTTACTACCGCGAATTTTTGCCCAAGATTCATCTGGAATTGCCGTTGTATAATTTAAACCTATTATCTTTTATCCCATAAAATGATTGAGAATGGGTCTATTTTTCTCTAAGATGTTTTTAATTTGGGGGTTCTTTCCTATAGCCCACAGGTCGGCAACCTGCGGCTCCGGAGCTGCATGTGGTTCTTTGAGCCTTCTACTGCGGCTCCCAGCCTCCTCTGCCATTTGCAGACAGAGACAGAGAGAGGCACTTGCACTTCCCTTCTCTCTCTCTCTCTCTCTCTCTCTCTCTGTGTAAAAAAGAGAGTGGCCTTACCCTGTTCGACAAGCTGAAAAGCTTATTGGGCGGGGCTCCTCCCTTTGCTGCGTCTCTGCAGGAAGCAAAAAGGGGAGGAGAGAGCCAGCCTGTTGCAGAACAGCTTGAATCCAGCTTGTCAGGTGAACAGAAGATCGGAGAGAGGGAGGGGGGAGAAAGAGAGAGGGAGAGAAAGAGAGAGAGCAAAGAGAAAGAGGGAGAGAGAAGAGAGAAAGAGAGAGGAGGGAGAGGAAAGAGAGGGAGAGAAAAGAAAGGGAGGAAAGGGGAAGAGGAAAGAGACAAAGAGGAAAGGGAGAGGGAAGGAGAAAGGGAAGAAAGGGAGAGGAAAGAGGAAAAGGGGAAGAGGAAAGAGGGAGGGAGAGGAAAGAAAGGGAGAGGAAAGGGGGGAAGAGAAAAAAGAGGGAGAGGAAAGAAAAAGAGAAAGAGGGAAAAAGAGGGAAAGGGGGGAAGCGCAAGTGCCTCTCTTTCTCTCTCTCACACACACTGAGTGGGGGAAGAGGACTGGCAGAGCAAGGGCAGAAAGAGGGAGGGAGAGACAGAGAGACCCTTTTGATATCTAAAATGAAGATATACCTATATACCTATAATAAAGGTAAAAATGATATATGCAGTGTTATCTTTATTTTAGATATCAAAAGGGTTTTGCGGCTCCCAGTGTTTTGTTTTTGGTGGGAAACGGGTCCAAGTGGCTCTTTGAGTGTTTTGGGGTGCCTACCCCTGCTATAGCCAATTATCACTTGATGTGTTCATGTTTTTTTTCTTAAAATAACAAAAATGTTAAAGTTCATACAGATAGTCAGATAACTCTCTTCCTTTCTTTAGTAGATCAATTTTGGTTCTGCTTGTACTGAACATATTAAATTACCTAAGGGCTTGCTGTAACAATTAGTTCTTTTCTTTCGCTCTAGTCAGTATCCCATTCTTATTAAAAATACAATTGAGTTTTTAATTTGGAGCCTTTTTCTTTCTTCTGTGATTCTGGGGAGTCCTCTGCTAAAAAGCACCCTGTTCTCTTGCTTCTCAATGGTCACTTTGACCACATAGGTGTTGGATATAGTTGAATTCAATATTAGAGGGAGTGATTCTATTGATCTCTTAATCAGCATATAATCATATAAACTCAACCATGTCCATATACACATTTAATGGACTAATTTCTATGACTGTACACACAGGAAATTTGCCTTCTGATTCTATGTATCAGGTTCTATTTTTTTCAAAACCACGTACAAGGAAAATTGTAATGCATGGATCGGGGCAATTAATATTCTCATGTTTTTCCTTGACATATTTTTATTTTATAGACGTAATCATCATGGTGTTCCATTTGAGAAAATACAATGGATGAAAGACGAATATGAGCATGATGTTACCTTCCATACAGTGCTTCATTCTGAAGAACCAGCCAGATACTGCAATTCTGGACGTTATTCTCGTCTGAATTCAGCTTTTTCCAACAACAGAATGAATAGGTCATGAAACTGAAGGATTTTAATAAGAGGACAGTGGGAGATTTTATTGGGATTTTATAGATTTTATTGTTTTAGATTCTTAGCAATTTTCTATTTTTCTACTGAACTAAAGTAGGTCTTAACCCATTTAAGCTTGATGTTCCAGAATTCTTGCAGATTTTAAAGAAAATTATAGAAGAAATAATTTAAACATGAATCATAATCTGTTGTTTTTTCACATTTTTAGTTTATTCTTTTCTGCAATCATTTTAAAACTAGGCTTTATATTCACACAAAAAATTAGAGGGTGGCACCTATTTAGGTCTACACATTTCAGCCAAATACCATGTTGACTGTCGGCATTAAAATGCTAACTATGATATATGATATATCATTTTCCAAGTCCTCATACATTAACAAGAGCAATCCTGTGGTAGCAGCAGCCATGAATGTGTTGTATTTCTCACTAAGGCCAAAAATAGGACTCCAATCAAATGGCAGAAACCTTTTCTATTTGTGCTTTACCAGTGTCCAAGTCTGACTATGTTCAGTGTACCAGAAGGCTGAGCCTTGAAGAGAACCAAAACCAAACATTTTATGAATGGGTGCGGGTGAAGCTTTTGAACTGCAGGATAAGGAAACTGTGAAGCTGCTCCCAAATCCAGTACCGATTTGTGAAATCCCCAGAAGTAGTACAGATAAATTGTAATAGTTGTTAAGTAGTATATGTCATAAGACCTTGTTTCTTGAGTCCTACAGATTCTGTGTTCCAGATTCTGTTTTTAAAATGTGTATCCATGGTATGTAGCTTCTTTTTACTTTTCTGCTTTTGGATTTTCCCTTTAAAAATCCTATTCAGTGCACTTTATTGTTCAAAGAGAGGAGGTGCTTTATTAGATCTCTAATTTTGAATTCCTGGTTCTGATGGATTTTATATATCTGGTAGTAATTTGCTAACATAAAAACAGCACAGAGCAAAAGCACAACCTCAGTTGTTTATTTTTATTCTACAGAAATGGTAATTTTGTAGACTTTGGTCTTTGTGAAACAAAAAGATGCATCTCAACTTTCCTATTAAGTAATAAATACTTAGATGTGAGTCAGAAACCAGCATAAATGTTAAAAACTAGATAGTGGCTAAAACCAAAATATTGAAATTATTATTGCTGCTATTAATATTGATTGAAAGAATAAGTTTTTTCTCATTTTTTAAACTTTTTCACTTTATAGCATAAACTGGATTCTTTTTCTCTTGATCTGGTTTCTATTAATTCTTTAAAAATGAGCCAGAACATTCTATTATTTTTTAAAATGTTCATTATACTTTAGGGAGACTATTCTACCAACAGGTTCCAATTTTAGGTATCCCAAGCCCAATGAAATTTGTGAAGCATATCAAACAAGATATAATTAAATATGACAGGAATTCAACATATCATTTTGCAATGCATTTAACTTTTATCATGGATATTATGTTTTATTATGAAATTTTGGCTACTTTATGCAAACAAATATATACAGATAATGATCATTGTATTCATACTTGGAAACTGCTTACTGTAATAGCTTTGTACTAGATAGTTTAGTGTTCAGGGACATATTTGTCACTAGGCTTTAGAGATCACTGTAATAATAATGTATCTTTTTGCAGAACTCAGTTCCTTGCAACAAAAACATTATTTACATTTATTTCCCCAGTGTTAGTGGAAGGATTCCTGAAAATATTTCTGAAATAAGTTATAGATCAGGTGATATCATCTTCATTTGTAAATATTAAAGGATTAGGGATTATTTTCTTTTTTCCCCCTTCTTTAGGGAAGAGGATAATTTGATGCTCTTTTAATAGTCAAATTGATAAAACAACATGGGCCTGTTCGTATAATTTTGGGCATTAGTCCCTTCGACAATCTCTGATACGTACTGTATAACACTGTTTAGAATAACTATTTATAGAGCAGTGTTTCTCAACCTTGACAATTTAAGGCATGTGGACTTCAACTCCCAGAATTCCACAGCCAGCAATGCTGGCTGTGGAATTCTGGGAGTTGAAGTCCACATGCCTTAAAATTGTCAAGGTTGAGAAACACTGTTATAGAGCATCTTTATAGATGAAAGAAAAACAAGAAAAATCCATTTCTGCAACCTTTTTATCTATTCTTGTGCTAAGCCGTTTATGCAAAAGCTAACTTTGACATAAGATGCATTGAATATTTGGAAAACTTTAAATTTGAGATAAAAATTTGAAACTAATAACTTCTGATCCAGAAATGTACCTGTGGCTTACATATCAGGAATTTGCAATAGTTGTTCTTACTGAAGTGTCTTAAAATGCTTGTTTTGAGCTAAAATGTGTAATAAACAAATCTAAACAAACATTTACAACGTTCATAGTTTTAAAAGGTAATTCACACATTAAATACAAACTATATTAACAGTGACATTTTCTTTGCCTCTGTAACATTTCCATTGCAATAATGAATTGTTAGTTTTGTTTTCCTTTGTAGGAATTAATTCTCTTTGGTATTACCCTGATGCATGTGTGTGTGTTTTTTATTAGTGGGCTGGACAGAGTGATCAGCCTATAAAAAACTGCAGCATCATGTACTAGATATCACAGGTATAGTTTTACCCACTCCTTGCTCTTCTGAAAAATTACTTAAGAGGGCTTGGGTATTTATCATTGCAAGTTCCTCATCGGCAACAAAATTGCTTTCAGGAGCAAAATCAGCCCCATTTAACTTTACCGGTGGATGTTTGTTATTCTTACTTTCAGTTTTTTTAACTGATGTTTTGGTCTGGGTACAAGTGCTTCGAGGGGGCTGAAATGCTTTTTTTAGAGATGGTGAAATAAATGCACAGATTGGTTTCACAGGTGGAGGGGAAGGTACTCGACTGAGCAGGTCCATTGCCTTTCGTTTCTTATAGTTCTTTGGAGTTTCTTGAAGATCTAGTGTCACTTTTGCAGATCCAAGAGAAAAGGATGGCTTTATGTCTGACTTTCCAATGGTCAAAGGACTTTGATGTCTTCGTTCACTGCTGGGAATTGTAATCTTAAAAAGACAACAAAAATTGAGTTGTTTCAGCTACTTTTCCTCACTAAAAACATTTGAACTAAATAATGCCTTTCTCTTTAGATACATATGCTTTTAAAATAACTCCCTTCAAAGCAATCTTGTCTCTACCAAATATTTAAATGAGGAGTATAAGACAGCAGTCCTGGTCTATATGCCCTGGAGATGTGTTTTAAACTCCTAGAATTCTCAGCAGTGACTATGTAGGATTATGAAATGCCCTAAAACATTTTAATTGAAATTCTTGATAGAAAATCCAATTAACATAGCATAATTTACTTTTGAACAGCATTTATAAAATTGTTCTTTTGATAAACTTACTGCTTGTTTATTTCCTGCATCAGATTTCCAGGGAGGATCCAAGCCACATTCTTTGGATAAATTGAGTAATTGCAAGGGATCTGATTTTAGCAAATTCATGATTTTGTATTCTGCATCTTTGCTAAAGCACTCATTGTTCTAGAAGACAAAAAGAATATTTTTCTATTATAATAACTATATTCTGGTAAAGTATGGATAATATATTTAATTATTATTTAATTCTATATGGCTATCCAATTGACATACAACTGGGGAGTGAACAACTTAAAAACAAAACAACAAAAAATGAAATAACACATATTTCAGGTGTATCAATACATGTTTTATGAAATTATTTGAAGTATGCAACTAATATCTTATTTTTGAATGTTAGAGGAGTTGCAAAAACATGATTTTTTAAATAATGAAATATATAAGGGTAATCCTCAATAATGGCAATTGGGACTAGAATTTCTGTTGCTAAATGCCGTGACTTTAGAGCACCTCAGCATGTGACCTCATTGCTTAGTGACACAATTTTCAGCACTTAGAATTGCTATTATTAATCAAATCGTCATGGCCTTTTAAGTGAGGACCTCACACGGTCACTATTTGCGAACTCCTGATGGCTTTCCCATAGTTTTTACTTGTGAAAAACTGACAAGAAGGTTGCAATTGGTGATCAGGTGACTGGGACACTGCAACACTGATATTGTGACCTGGGCATCAAGCACCTAGATGTGATCACAGGCAAACTGCAACCAACAAATACAAAGATCAATCATTAACTACCACTTGTTCAGCACTCTCATAAGTTTAAACAGTTGCTGAACAAGTGGTTGTTAAATGAAGACTTATCTGTAGGACTGTGCAGCATTTAGATTCATTTCCACAAGGGTTCTGGGAATGAGGAAGGTTGTAGAAAAGAAAAGAAAAAATGATGTGGACACTTACTGAATCAATTGCGGAATGCTGTTTTAATCTGCATCACAAGAAAAGTAATGCATGCACTGTATGCACTGAATATACTGTACTTAACTGCTGTTTAGAAATAAGTAACTTTACCTCAATGGTATTTTTAAATTCTTTAAATATTTCTTGGAGATGGTTTTCCTTTGGGTTTGAAGAAAATGCAGAAAGCTCTCCAGCAAATAGGGTGGGAATATCTGATTTAAATTCAGGTCGCCACTGAAGATTGGTTGCAGAGATGCATGCAGATGGAATGATTATATCTTCAATAGCAAGCTGCTTGAGATCTGTACAAATCTGGATTGCTATTATATTATGATGTTCATCTGACAAATATACCAATGTACAAAAACCTATGTAAAAAAATGAAACATATAACTTATTGGATTTAACATTAAATTTTTTATGTTGGCCATCTTCAGGTTCAAAATAAAAAAAATCCTTTACTCCCAGCTACCACTGATAGAAAATTATAATCTATTCGTAGCAGGAATGCAAAGGAAAAAAGAGTAACCAACAAGTCCTTTGATGCCAACTCTTCCCCTACACCAGGGGTAGGCAACCTTGGAGTCATAAAAGAGCCAAGGTTGCCTACCCCTGCCCTACACTGCATTCTGCCATCACCACCCGGTAATCCTACTGACCTGCCCTTTAACTCAGCTATTCGTTAAGGCTCACCTTGTTTGTTTAAGAATGGAGTGAAGAAGCAAATTGTTTCTGCCAAATCCATCAAATTAGTATTTTTTTTAATTTCTACAAAATGGAAAACTCAATACCACAATTCCCACTAAAGAAAAGCAAATAGAATTTAAACAAAAACAATTGTGAAAAGCAATACAATAACAAACATCATAAATTTAAAAAGTAACCCTGCTCTTTTTTTTTTAATGCATAATCCTACTGCGCTTAAATTTTCAGACATTATGAAACCCAATTTAAAGAAAGTAAACACGTGTCCATGGAATATCAGAAGCTTGCTACAGTGAAAGAAGGGAAAATACTAAAAATCAGCCCTTTCCTGATACACCATTAAAATATTAGGATTTGTAGATGGATATCCTTAGTTTATATTGATGCGGGTCCATGATCGTATTAAAAAATTAATGGATTGTTTTATATGGTTTCTTTATGATTTTTGTTTTTAACTGGATCTAGATAGTTTTAATTTGCAATAAATATATATTGCAATTAATTTAAAACTTTAAAAGCCCAGTGATTCTTCACCATATATTACATAAACAAACCAAGGCAGAATGTATCCATTCTACCCAGGTCATGGGGTGAGTTATTTTATCGCTTACGTAAAACTTCAAAGAAATTTTACAACTTCTACAGTTCAGTTTGGGAGGAAAAAAAATGACTTTAAAGATAACAATTTGGAACTTATATATAATTACTTATATATGTAATAAGTGTGATTACAATATGTAACATACCTGCTCTTTTTGTCAAGCAAACTATATATCCCACCAAATCGACTTCAGAACAAGCTGGTCGGAAGGAGGGCTCCAGTAGTTTACCATACACCAGACATTCCCTTGGTCTGTAAACTTGTAATAGACTTTCTTGAGAAACCTAATAGCATTATGGATAATAATATTATGAAAATTACGTAAAACTTGTAACTTAAGTAGCTCACTTTAAGTCTTACTTAAAGGACACTTACTGGCAGTTGTAGATACTGGGTTTTCTTGGTAGTTGTTAACTGTATATTGTTGGTTTTCAACTTGCCTTTCGAGTGAGATGCAGATAAATGTAAAATTCTGTATCGGCCTCCTTCCTTTAAGAGGTTACAAACATCTGAGGATGGACGCCAGATGTTCAGTATACCTTCTAAGATTAGAATTAAAAATACAGATGTATTTTGACAACAGTATGGTGCATCTTTTTAAAAATATCCTTGCTGGTCATTGTTCATACAGGTAGTCCGTAAATTAAAACCATTTGTTTAGCAACCATGATGTTGGTTATGATGGCACTGAAAAATGACTTGCCCAACTATTAGTGTCTTCATGGTCACGTGATCAAAATTTGAGTACTTGACAACTGGCATATATTTATGACAACTGAACCATCCCAGAGTCACACCATCTCCATTTGTGACTTTCTTACCTGGCTTCCGACAAGCAAAGTCACTGGGAAAAGCCAGGTTTGTCCAATGACCATATGATTCATTAAACAACCGTGGCAAAAAAGGTCATAAAATCAAGTGTGTCTTGTGTAGTAATGGAAATTCTGGTCCCAATTGAGGTCGTCAGTTGAGGCCTACTTGTATTTCATTGTTAAACAAAAACTACACATATCAATTCATATCTATGCTACAGAAGAACTTAATTAAATTTACTTTTAGAAATGTTACTATTTGAATAGTCTACAATTAATGCATCAAGGGATGGCATACAATGAATTCAAATAAACAGGTTATATGAATAAAGCATTGCTTAGATACTATATTATATATATTTACGGTATGCCTTTTAGAGTGGATTAGTATCGTATTTACCTTTTGAGTTTTCTTTTGTCCCATAATCTACAATTTGTAGTTTGATTATGGTGGATACATCCCTTCTGCAGGGGCTGTTTGTCTCTTGCTCAGCAGATTCCACAGCTTTCCTGAATTCTGCTTCTATCTGGGCTTGCCTTTTATCATTGACCATCTGTCTGTGACTATTCAAGGCTTTTAATTGCTCTTCATTGAAAAAACCCTGCAATAAACCGTGGTAAAACTGAAACAGCTACATATATCTTAACAAAAAGGAAACAGAAAATGAAATTAAGAAATTCAGAGCAATGGTGAAACTTCTCTTAGGAAGTTCAAGTTCCTAAAGGGGATATTGAAAGCACAAACAGACCAGTCAGCCTGACATCAGTATATAGGATATGTTAATATCTGAGATGCTTTAGTGTGGATTTCTGCACTAAGCAGGGGGTTGAACTTAAATGGCTGCTTCAAACTATGAATCTAAGACCCCAAACATTTTGGTGAAGCTAATGAACTTAGTTATACACTTGTCCTCATTAATATTTGTAAGAATAGTTGGAATGAAGCTCCTTTAAAATATTAAGTGAAATTTCTTTCATAGAATTTTCACCATCTCTTTTTGGGGGGGCGAGGAGGGGAGTTCATTCTGTCTTCCTGCTTCTCCCCACCTGTGCCTCCTTTGTTTTATCCCGTTTACTTATTGTGCTTTTTTTTTTTTAAACTGGAGCCCTCTGGCAAAAAGGCAAAAATTTGTAGAATGACTATTTCTAGCATTGTTTAAAAAAAAACTTACCTCCATATAAGATGGATCAGCAGAATTAATAATTGCTTCATAAAGCTCTTCACCATCTTGTAGAGCACGTATCTGTTGCCTTGTTAGAGCATGAGATCGCAGTATTCTTTTGCCTTTATCTGTTTTTAAAAATTAACATGTCTCAAATAACTACCGCTGTGAATGCCTAGTTAACAGTAATCAAATAGAACAACTGAGCGTAAGTTGACTAGTAAGCTTTTGAAAGGAAATTGTAACAAATCATAATAGATTACAAGGAGGTACCAGCAATTAATTTAAAATTACCATTCCAAATAACATTTTTGTTCTTTCTAAAAACAATAATATATTTAGTGTCCTGTGTTTATAACATTGTTTAAAAAGATACCCAAAGAAGAACCAAACAAAATGACCCTATTTAAATATTTAAATATCAAGAATTGGCAGCAGGTGTTCCAATTCTGAATATAGCAACACCACTGAGAACATTCTCTCCACTGTCTTTTAGATCTTCTGTAACCATTGTCTGTAACTCTTGATATCAATTTAGTCAAAACAACAAGCTATCTTCTTTGGCAAGTGGCTAAGTGCTCAACCAAGGAAGAAGTCAGACAGCCCAGTCCAAACTCAAGTGTTCACTCCATTTGTGGCTCACTCTTTCTCCCTGCAAAAACAGAAAGTCTGACCTCCTAATTTGTATCCTATAAACCTGTGTTACTTAGTACTTCAACTCATCAGAAGGCTGATGACATATTTCTGCATCAAAATCAATTTAGAATTTCAGTGGCACACAGTTTTCAATCTAATTTGAAATAATAACACCATGGTGGCAGATTACAGTAGTAAACCCTATGAAACACAGCAGTTAGCCCTATGTATGGAAGCTTGGTTTGAACACTGCACACAGCAGAAACAACGGTGGTGTGCTTTAGTAGGCTTAAATAGAAAATAAATGATTCCTTATGATATTGCCTCATATTTCACCACAGATAGGGCAATCTGTAGATTATTTATTGAATATATGGGGGTGATTCTTATTTAAACGACTTAAGTATACAGGATGTGATCTGCCAATGTTCTAAACTAGGCATAAATTACTTAATGTAATGAATTGTAAGTCTGGTTTATAGTTAAGACAGAATTATTATTTTGGAGTGAGAAGTACCCAGAGGAAACAATTTCTAAAGGAGAAATTATAATTTTAAGAATTACTTTCTTAAAATCTGATACTTTTTAAACTGTTATTAGTATCATTTAAACATTATTACATGAGTCAAGTAATATTGCTTTATAATATTCAGGCATATAGTAAGGATGAATACAAAGTAATTGTTCTAGAAAATACATTCCAAGGTATTTCTATACTACAGAAAATATGCTAATTTTTCAAATCCTAAAAATTTCACAGTAACTCAATTCTGTTTATAGAGCTGGAATCTATAGAGAAGAGATATCGGTACAGTTTTCTAAATAGTTCTGTTGACGCACAAAAGTTAAACAGAGAACAGATATTTCTCTATAAATAGACATTTTTCTTTTATATGCAAAATAACATTCTAAAAACAAAAATATAGCTGTCTATTTTACCATCATTCTTTTCAAATTTTGCTTGTACTTTTGCCAACAATATTTCTAATGTTTTCTGTCGATTTGCAGCAAATTTTGTAGCTTCTCTCTCTTCTGCTCGATTGTTACGGAACACACAGGACCCTTTTGATACTTTTTCCATCCACTGAAATAAATATTGGTTGAAAATTAGGCCACACATTTGAATTAAGATTTACTTCTCAAATCCCAGTAATTATGTATATATTGAAGACTAATATACTAAATTACCTGTATAGGGTAAATCCTTTGAACGATGACATCAATGCAACCAACAGTCCCACCATCGCTAAACAATGAGGATAAAGGCAAAGAGAATGGCCGAGGATCACAATGATATCCTAATTTGGCATACCATCGAGCACGTCGAGTACTATTAGCTGTAATCTAAAATAAAACAAATATATATTTCAGAACATATTCTTGTAATGTAGCCTGGTAGTCATGTAGGTGTTTAAATATATAGCACAACATCTAGTTATAGAGCAAATGATATCTTCAGAGGAAGGAAAAAAATATATCTAACAATTGTAAGTGCAGTAAAAATGGTCTATAGCACTCATTTTTAAATTGTGTACATTGAGAGAGAGTGTGTGTATGTGTGTGTGTGTGAGAGAGAGAGAGAGTTGGGATTCCTCACCAGCCAGTGGATCCGGCAGCTGAGTCTGAGGAATCAGATGAGGAAGGGCCTGGAGTGACATTAGAGAAGGCTCTGAGGAGCTCCAACACTTACGGTCGGACGAGAAGCCTGGCCCCTCTACTCGCGCTCAGACTGAGACACAGCTGTGCTGGGAGCCTGAGTTGGACAGTGATGAAGAGCAGCTGGGACAAATCCCGGATGCACAAATGCGTAGGCAAGAGAAGCGAGTAGGACAGAGGAATGCAATGGGACAGCTCCAAAGGCAAAAGAGAAGGCATTAGGAAGCCATGCCTTGGCTGAATTATAAAAGGGAAGGTGTGGTTGCCAAAGGCAACCGTTCGTGTTGAGGATCGCGTTTCTCTGGATTGTTTTTGTTTGCCTTGGACATTGACTCAGGTCTGTGAAAATAAAAGGGGTTGGTTTTTTCTTGCAGTTCCTGCCTGTTTCTTCGAAGAGGATTTTTTTTTTTGTGAGCATAACAAAGACTCACGTAGGCTGGGACAGAACAGAGAGAGCGAGATCTACCTGACTTGGAGACCTACAACTCTGAAAGGAAAATACACAAAGAAGAGACAACTATGCAGAAATGTTTATCACTGCCCATTTTTACAACAATATATACAAGTCATCTTGAAATAACAATCATTGTATAAATGTACCTTTAGCATCAGAGATTCTGGTGCTTCTAAAGGGGTGCTTGCATCCTGAGATCCCACAAGTTCTGCTCCATGTACAACAATTTTCTGGCCAACTGACAGTTTCTGCTTAGATAACAGTGATTGAAGAGGTGGATCCAAGACAGTCCTAATTCCATACCAACCATCTGTAACTTCAATGATTGCCACTTTTTTATTGTCCTCAGTGGTGCTTTTACTGTCAGCAATGTGAGGCATGTTTGTGTTAAATGATATAATTTTAGAGATGCACAGTATGATTGTTTTTCCAGCAACATCATCTCTTTCTGTTATTTTTTTGATGGCTGATCGTTGACTTTTATCGACTTCTATATCATACCTTTAAAAAAATTGAACAAATATTTCAAACTGACTTTGGATGTTTTTGAGAAGCAATTGATTTGCTAAGTAGTAGCACTTAATTTAATGAGCAAACAACAGACTCATTTGAAAACAGTGGTAATTAAGACTGTACAGACACAGATAAAATTCAGAAGAGTCATTTTGCCAAATCTTAATCTTTACCTGTACTTTAGCTGAAGAAGTACTCCTTCTGGTGTCAAACATTTACTGGCAAAAGCTTGTGGAAATGCAACCTCCATAGCTGCCAGTTTCCATATAATCCACTTATAATGGTTATACACCCAAGCTTTGGAAATTAGATTGGGATCTACACCTGGCGTGTCACACAAAGCCCTGCACAAAATTATCAGAAAATTTATCAACCTATTAAGAAGATAAAGCCTGAGTTTTGACATGGAAAAGACAACAATAACTATCATAATTCAACCTTTTAAATGTGTGTTTTGAAAAGAGTGATAAATAAAAAGCCTAGACCAGGGCTTTTCAACCTTTTCAGCGATTATACCATTTTTACGATATGGCAATATTCGAGTACTACCTAGCAAGGTGTCAAAAACTTGATGACCAAAAAAACAAAAACCTGTTCAAAGTTGCAATTGCACTGAAATGAATTATGACCATTTTTCACACTTATGATCATTGCAGCATGCCCAAGGTCATGTGATTTATATTTGAATGCTTGTCCCAGGGTCATGTGATCCCCTTTTGACAAGCAAAGTCAATGGCAGGGCTGCTGGTGGCCAAGTGCTAAGGCGGGACTTCCTTCCTTCCCTTCCTCCCTCATTGTGATCCCCATCTCCTTCTGAAGGAAGAATTTGAACCCTCCCCCTCATATTTTCCCTCTTCCATATATTTATCAAACAAGGAAAAACCTCCAGAGACAGAAAAGACAAGCTGCTGAGGGAACTAGCTTAAAAAGGCGCATTTCCCTTTAAGAATTAGCTTCTGGCTAGAAAGGAAAGTTAAGGAGCCGGCAGCTGGCACTTAAGGAAGAAAAAGAAATGTAATAAGTACTCCCCAAATGGCTCCATTCATAAGTAAAGGAATGGTACAGGCAAAATCCATTCAGGAGAAAAATACTTCAAAATCCCTTGGGGCAAAATGTACAGCTAACAATAGCAGAGCAATAGAATCTAACAGGAAATATCAGCCAACAGCCAAATAGAAATTGCCAAACACTCCTTAAGAACACAAAGCCCACATTGCACAAATCCCAGAACTTCAAAGTCAGAAAAGCACATAAGAATCCTTCCACTCTCCTGGTTTGTTGTTCAGCTGAAACGGCACTTCACTTCTGCCATTAAACATCTCCTCTTGAGCAGCCAGAGCAGCAGCAGCCGGAGGTTTGTTTCCTCTGGTCTATTTTTTTCCCTTAAAGGTATAGCTTCTCAGCTGGAAAGCAAGCCCTGGGCTTTTCCTTCTAACACTCCCTCCCTCCTGCTCCTACCTCCCTCTTTCTCATTGCCATCTCCCTCTCTCCCTCCATGCTCACCTCCAGCCGATGCTGCCTTTCTTCATTCCTCGTGGAGGGCGACCTCTCCCCCACTGCATTTCTTGCCTGTTTGTTGCTACCAGCATGGATGGCTGCCACATAAGTTGTAGATCAGCTCATGGCCGGCCTGCTTGATCTCCTCTCCTCTCCCCCCACCCTCCTCCTTCTTTCCCTTCGGTGCAGCTACAGCTGACTCCACCTCCTCCCAAAGCTGTGTCTTTTTCTCTCTCTCCCTCTCCCGCCCAAACTGCCTCCTTTTAGAGCCTCTCCTGTGTCCGCCCCACTCCTCCTCCTTTCTCTTCCGGGTAAGCCAGAAGTGAGCCTGGAGCCTTTGCCTCACCCCAGCCACTCTGCAGCTCCGGAGGACTCTCTCTCAGTAAGTCCTGCGCTGCGCTGGCTCGTTCCCTCCCCCACTACTCTTGGCTGAGCAGGGCCGCATACCACCTGCCACGTGCTAATGTACCACAAGTGCTACGCGTACCACCGGTTGAAAAGCCCTGGCCTAGACTCCTGGTACTATAGAAGCTAAGGAATGTCCTGTGGAGATACTTTGTGTTACCTCCTGCATTAATACTTTTCACATTTAAGTTCTAAATCACTACAGGCAACTACACATATTTATCTTATAAAATTCTATATTTAGTCAAAACACATGAGGTTCCTGGTATTACCTCTTTCACATGACTAAGATCTTTGCTTTTAACCAAAGATTTCTACATTTCTCTGTAGAAATGTTAAACAAATGGCTGTTGTTTCTGGATTTATTATTAAATGTAAACAATGTCTTAAATCTTATAGTTTTTCAGAGAGAATAACAAAAAACACATTTTTAATTTTAAGCAAATAGTTTCTGCATTGCCCAGGTACTGAGAAATATAAATCATTTTCTAGCATTAAAAGCATTAGTAATTCTAACATTTAATAACATATTACATACTCATAGATAAATATCCTGAACACCATACCAAAAGAATTCTTCTTTTCCAGCTTTTCCCTCATCATTAGGAATAATATATCCTCCATCAGCCAACTGTATTCCATGGTCTTCTAGAAAATATTTTCTACTGAAAAAATCCTGGATAAGAAATTGAAAATCTTCTGCATTTGTGCTATTAATTTTTATGCTTTGCCTGGAAACACCAAAAGCATACAACTGCAAGGATAAAAGGCAGGTAGAATATTTTAGTATTATTAAATGCATATATGCTCAATATATATTAAACAAATTATGAATATTTCTCAGCATGTTTTTCAAAACCAGAAATTCCAACTATAAGTTCCAACTATTTAGTATCTGTAGTACCATAATATTGATCTTTAGAGACAAAACTTTATAACTTCTTTGGCTACTTTAAAGTCATGTTAAAAAGGCAAAGTACAAAATAATCAGAAAACAAAAATTCAAAAAAATCAGATCTGTGGAATATAAGTAGCTTTGACTTTTAGGTAGGATCTTTTAGAGGATTTAGATGCATCTCGGAAATCTACTAGTAGTCATTCTCATCTTATGAAAGAATAGAAAATGACAAAAAATCCAGTTGAAGCATTATGTTGATGGGTAAATAGTACTAAAGCATTTATTTTCATGCATAGAAAATGGTCCTAGTCATATATGATAAATTATGTGTTATTCATATAGGAACAAACTGCAGTTAGCCTTGGTTCATTCATTTTACCTTCTGTTTTTCTGCCAAGACAGGGAATTTAGAAACTTTTATTCAAGTTCAGCATAACTGAATTTAATAGTTAAATCTGAATCGGGACAAAGCTGTAGTTAATATTTGAAATCTCCAAGTTCAGAACAAAATATATTATCATTAATAATAATCCAAATTAATCAAAATTAGAAGCAACAAATAATCTCCTCAGGACTGTGAACAAAAAAGTTATTATTTGAAATTAAGTTCAGAACAAAATATATGATGACCATATTGTCATTAACAATAATTAATCCAGATTAATCAAAATTAAAAGCAAATAGTGATCTCCTCAGGACTGTGGATAAAAAAAGGAAGAGAAACTTGCATCTGAAGCTTGGGTATGTAACATTCTATAGTTGTTAATATTATGTCAAAACCAGATCAATATGCCACTGGATATATTAGGAATGTTAATAAATGAAGAGGGGAAAAAGGAGGAGAAAAAATGATGGAGATGGGGAAATTGGTTACAAACATACATACTGTATATATTGTAAGTCTTATGTTTCAAAAACATTAAACATAAGAAATTGAAAGATGTTAATCAAAGATTAAGGAAGAAAATAATGGAAATATATACCATCTATGGCAATTAATTGATCAATGGCTCTAATAAGTATTATGTAAAAGTTTTATTCTTGCTTTTTGTGCAAATAACCAATCAAACTATAAAATCCCCTATCTGACTGGACAAAATGAGCAAGTTTTGTTTTTCAGCTTTAGCACACAATAACTTATTAAAGTATACCACTTTTAAACGATGAAAAAGCTTGCATTTTCTAAAACAAGTTCCCAGAGTTTCCAGACAAGATGTAACTTTGGTAACTATAAACTTTGGTTTATAGATTTAATGTCTTAAGATTCCAAAGAGGTTGTATATGCACAGACAAGATAATTTTTAATAATACGTCTCTTAATAGATAGTGTGCTTACCTGTTCACTGGAATAAAAGTCAGGCAATTTCTCTTTGACTGCAGCTTTTAAAGGAATTCTGCAAAGACCAGAAGACCTTTTCACAAGGTACAGGCTGCCTGGTTGTGGATGAATTATTTGATCTTGTTTCTTTGAAATTCTCATTTGTTGTAGATTTCTGGCATACTGAAGATATGGTGTCATTTTTGTTATGTCTGCCAAAGTATTAATAAAATCATGGCTATTTTAATTTAAAACAGAAATTACAAATTTGCCTAAGATAGCAACCCTGAATTCTAACTAGTGCAGATCACATATGGACTATTTATGAACAATTATAAGAGATATATTGCCCTTTTTTCAGCATTAGTGCACCAACAAAACCAGTGTTGTTAGTGACTATAGGATGTGTAACCTAGCCCAAAATAACAGTTTTCAAACATTCTGAATATCAATATGCTATTTCTGTAATTTTTACTTATCAGAGTTACTTTGGTAAAAGTAACTCTGAGTTATCATGGTAAAAAGATCTTTAATAATTAATAGGAGAGATATCTTTGATTAGTATTATAAAATTTCAAAAAGAGTACATAAAATTGTATCTAACTGAAATTCCCCAGTCTAGAGATGGCATTATATAAAAAGTAGGAAAGGAAATGGTAAGATTATCAAGTCATAACAAATTATAACATTTGTGAATTTGATATCTATAACTTCTGTATACTTCCATAACTGGAAGTCTAATTGTTATTTTGTATATGTGTTCTTTCTATGTTTGTTTCTTAAATGGCATTTTTTGTCATAATAAGAGTTTTAAGACAATAACTCTGGACCTGGCAATAACTAATAAGAAGTAGGAAAAAATGAAATTGTTCAGGTTAAACACTGGTCTTTTTTGAAAAATAAATTAAAGTATTTGATGTTAAAAGTTATGATTGTAATATTACATACATGCCAAAATAAAAACAAGAATGAAGTATCCAATGTACCTTGAACTATTTTACTACGTCCTGAATCCAAAGCTGATATTCGTGCACAATTATCTTCTTCTGATTCAATGAAGGTTTTGTTAATTTCTTTTGGGTTATATTCTTCCATTCCATTGATACTTTTGCAACTGAATGAGGGATGGTCTTTGACATTGCTTATTTCATCTTCTAAAGTTCTTGATTTTATTTTAAAAGGAGGCACAAAGATCTTAGTAGTTTTTTCCCCTGAATAATGATTTTGTGGTTTGTTTTCCTCAGTTAAGATCATTCCAAACTGAGCCAATGACTTAATTGAAGACCGCTCTGAAAAACCACCAAACTTAGATCCTTTCATAACTTGCTGTGGAATACTAAAATTTGGATTCAGTATTTCTTGTCGTTCATTGGCGGAACTGAAGAAATAAAAACATTTTTATAAGAATGTGAATGAAAGACTAACAAGAATTCCTTTTTATGTTCCCTCTCTTTGACTAGGAAATTCACACAATTAAGCTGCCATGTATTGCACACATACTTAATTTACTGGTAATTAACTTATATTAATACTGAATAAGAAACTAGTAGTTTCCAAAATAATGTTACAAAGATTATCCAATGCATTTTTAAAAAAATAATATCTACTGCTGTGCACTGCCCAGTTTCCTGAACTGAGATAAATGGCTACATAAATTTGATTAATAAATTAAATGAAATAAAAATCAAATATGAAAAATTTAAAATGAAATGACAATCTACTCTTACCTAAATGCTCCACAGACTGCTGGTTTCAAAGAGATCTTGTTGGACATTTTTTTTCTGTCATTTATTATACCTAAATAAAAAAATAAGTTCTATGAATCAAATGACATTTAAAAGAATATGGATTTCTATGTTCCTGATAAATATTAGTTTTACTTGAGTTTAAAAAAAATTGTCTTATGAACATTTTCAGAACTAGTTAAATTTGTACTAATTTGAATACCATTTGTCAAACTTGTATAACTTAATCACCACTATGCCTGCTGTAAATAACTGGAAGGTATTAGGATGTAGAATTGTTTTCATCAGCTTCCATTTATTGAGAGAAGCTTTTAGATAGGCGAGGATAGATGGAAAACAATTATGGGCTGTTACTCTGCAAACAAGATCCTTGGGGTGCCGAAGATATGTTATTCTATGCCTGACATTAAAAAAAACCTGTCCCACTTTTGGACGAGTGAAAAAGCAAGCAGAATTTGGAGCATGGTTGTATTTTTTCTATTATGCTCTCCCTGCCACAATTTTAAAATTAATCTGAAATACTGCTCGCATATCTATATTAAAGAATGTACTTACTACTATGGGAATATGGCTTTTCTCAGAGTTCTGGAACATAACTTGTTTTTAAAGACACAAGTTTAAGAAGAGATTGGACAACCATTTGTCTGAAATAGTGTAGGGTTTCCTGCCTAAGCAGGGGGTTGGACTAGAAGACCTCCAAGGTCCCTTCCAACTCTGTTATTCTATTCTATTCTATTCTATTCTATTCTATTCTATTCTATTCTATTCTATTCTATTCGCAAAGGATAGTCCTACATTTGATTACTAAAGAAATTTTTCATCTGCCAAAGCTCTGCAAAGCTGTAAAATATAATACGGCAATACTATTACTACCACAAAGATCACTCAATTTTGAGCCAGTTGAAGTTTCTGAATGGACGTCAAAGGCTGTCCCATGCAAAGTGAATTACAGTAATCAAGCTGATAGGTGACAAAAGCATAAATATCTGTATCAGTATATCCTGTGCCAAAAAAGGTCACAAGTTGTACCAGCCAGAATTAGACAAAGTCCTCTTGGCCAAGTCTTACACCTGCTCTTCAAGCAGCAGAAAGACCCTCAGATTGCACATTATTTCTCTCTGGGAGACCACAATCCCACCAACATTGAAATTCCTAATGAAATAAGTGGTTCAAAAGAATTTATTTTTAAATAATTACTGATCAGATATTCTGATAACTACACTGCATTGATTACTGCAGATTACAGAACATATTATCAAGAAACAACTCCAAGCCTTGGGGGGGTGGAGTGGCCAATTATGTGGAAACTCTAGCAGCCTTTAGTTCTCCACTGTTAACCAGAGGTGGGATCCTGTTTCTGAAGTTATGCTTTGGGAAACAGTTTGACTGTTGCAATTGTACTAACTTCTCTTCTCCATAGCAGTTTCCCTAACTTGTTATTGCTCAAATTTTGAGGCGACTTGGGATTTCACAGCCACCATGACAACCCTAATCCCTGGCCTAATTCATTCCATAGTGGTCACACATTTAATATTTTTAATCTTAGGGCATTTGTGATATTATGTGAAGGATATTAACATTTATCACCTGCTATAGTAAGATCACGCTCAGGTTGGCCTGCAATATTCTAGTACTGTTCCCTCCCCTTTGAATAGTCTGCCCATATGCCTGATGGACTGTTAGTTTTCAGAGCATGTTTGGGGTTTAGAGTTCTGATGGAAAGTTAAACTAAGGCTTCAATCACCACTTGAAATGAGCAGGTAACAACAACCCTGGACCAATCTATTCACTTTTTAGACTGTAGTTCCTCACATCAATCTCCAAAACAAGAAAAATATGCAGGCACTATAAAACAAGCAAGAAAAGAAAAGGAGTGCCAATGAAAACAAAATGTATACATCTTTGAGATGACTTATATAGACTGAAAAACAAAAAATACCATATGGAGAACTTCTTGAAGATTTGAAAGATGATCTATTGGATTTTTCGGACTGATCAAATTCAGGCAGCAGCTTTCTTTTAATAGGAGGTTGTCCTGAAAAAGTTGAACATTTCAAAAATGCATATTCAATAAATACAAATTTCTATGGAATATCTATTTAACTGATTTATTAAATCATGTTTATGTAGATAGCAGTGTTTTCTTTTGAAAATATGAGGCTTATTCTATTAATAGAATAATATAATATAATAATATAATAATATTTCAAAATATTTGTAAATAAAATATTTACAAGTAAACCCAACTTCCAATTAAACTCAGTTCCTGATGATTACACAAATACAACCTTCCATGTTTTTTCAGACATAGAGGAGTGATTTGCCACTGTATTTTTTTTAAAAAAATGTTTCTCAGTTTCCCAGCCTGGCTTACAATCTTGGCATTTGCTATTAAAAATTCCAGACTGGGAAGTCAAAAAACCAGAAAGCAATAGAGGTAAAAAAAAATAATCCATACAATTGTTAAAAATTGTATGGTGTAGATGACTACATAGATGTAGTCATCTGAACCTGAATTATGGAGGAATGTGAAAAATTTACATTATACATTCACAATTCTTCACATGAACATTTCTCATTATCCCAAAAAAATGTAGAATGACTAAACAAAAAGGGTTTGTTTAGTGCAGGAGGAAGAGAGAATACTATAACTGCCAACTTATCAGCATATTTTTCCCCTCAACATGAACCTTGCTTATAGGATAAAAGCTGTAGAATATTTATAAGAGCAGCTATTACTGCTATTACTCTACTCTTCCATCAATCTTCGCTAAAACTCATGCGAATGCTACACTGCCAACCCTTTGGCAATAGAAATCTGAGACGTTGTGTTTTTTGAAATAAGATTTTTATTCACTGAAGTCAATAATTATGTAGAATACCAATCTGAATTATTGGCAGTGTTCACTGTTCAGTACCTTAAATGAATTTTAAGGTTGAAGAAAGTAAAAAAAGTACTTACCAAATGTGTTTTCTTTTTCCATATGTCTTTTCCCACTTCTTGTACGTAACAGAGAATTATTAGCTGTCAAGACAGACTTTTGAATATTTCTTTGTACTTCTGAATCAGTGAAATCGTCATCTTCTATGAAAGCCTTTGCACTTTCTGAGGCTTCTACATCTGAGTAATTATCTGGAGTCTGGGAATAAGCAGGACAAAGAAAATCCAGATTCCTTTCTGTTCCATATTTGGTATTGACTCTGCTTTGGCATGGTCGGGTTATCTTCAAAGGTTCAATTACTTCTTTTGAACATGAAAAGCTTCTTTTGAATTCTGCTGGTTGCTTGTATTTCTCAATAGAAGTGATGCACATAGGTATTTCAATATTTAGCAAGGATTTACAAGTTTCGTTTTCATTCAGATTCTCTCTGGTTTTACATTTCTCCTTTGGTTTAGATGAATTAGCTTCATGCTCCTGTTTAATTTTTGTAATGGGAGTTTTCATTGGAGAATTATGAGTTTGCTTTAAATTTTCATCAACAAAGAAATCACGTGCACTGATACCCGTATCATCAAATTCTTTTAAAAGTCCCATACCATTTTGGAGAGCCTTCTGAGAAATCTGTACCTGTTTTCCACATGCTGTATTAAAATCACATGGAATGCCTAAATGTACTTCTATGTTTGGATTTTTTTCTCTTTGGGATATATGTAATCTATTTTCCCTGGGAAATACTTTTTTTTGTATAGAATTCACTGTGTTGTAATCATAACTGCCATCTGGGACAGAATTTTGATAACCAGATAAATCAGATTCAATTTCAGAAAAAAGTAGGCTTGCTTTCTTTAGTGATTCTTTAGATAACTGAACAGGCTTACCACTTGCCGTGCTAAAAAACCCACAGTTGTCAATAGAAAAGTCTGATTTGCAATTCTTTTTGTTGGAAGTCTGGATATCAGAACACATGTGCATTCCAATAAAGTCATCTGAATTTTTACAACTTAATTCAGGCACAAATTCCATTGATTTGGGTACAACACATGATAATGCTTGGGCACTTTCACAGACTTTTTTGGTTCTAGGAAACTGGGACAGGCCTGAATATTCTGTTGGAATCTTCTCTACACTCAAATAGCTGGAACCAATACACTCCCTGCTATGAAAAGCATCAGAAGACCTTCCAAAGGTATTATCTTTATTTGCTTCAGACTGAGATTCTAAGTTATTGAGATTTTTATGAAGAAAGTGTTGGGCATTTTTTAATGCTCCCTGAGAAACATTATCAGTTTTACCACTCGCTGTTTTGAAACTGAATGCAACTGGTCTAGCTTTCAACTGTTTTGAAAGGGAGTCTTTTTCTCCATTAGTTGAGGGTTTTTCTAAGGTGCTAATATCCAAGAAAAGCAAGCTATGCTTTGGTGTCATCCAATTTTCATTTCTACAGGTTTCGCCAGATATGTTGACATTAATTTCTGCATTAACATCTGACTCAGTTGTATTCATGTTCTTCACTGAATGTATCTCATTACAGCTGAAATTGTGATCTGATAAATTAGGTTCAATTTCAGAAAAAAGTTGTCTTGCTTTATTCAGTGATTCTTTAGATAACTGAACAGGCTTACCACTTGCTGTGCTAAAAAACATGCATTTATCGGTAGACAAATCTGATATACGGTTCCCTTTGGTGGAAACCCTGGTGTTAAAACACGTGCCCATTTCAAAACTTTCATCTGAAGTTTCACAATTTGATTCAGAGACGGTGTCCACTAACATGGGCATAGCACATGGTAATGTTTGGGCAGTTCTACACAGTTCTTTGGTTCTAGGAAACTGGGATACATCTGAATATCCCATCGGCATCTTCTCTGCATTCAAGGAACCAGAAGTAACGCAGTTTTTACTGCCAAAAGCATCCAAAGAATTTCCTAACGTATTACATTTATTTGTTTCAGAATGAGATTCCAAGTTACTGTAGTTTTTATGAAGAAATTGTTGGGCATTTTTTAATGCCTGTGGAGAAACCTTAACAGCTTTACCACTTGCTGTTTTGAAACTGAATGCAGCTGGTCTAACTTTCAATTGTTTTGAAGTTGAGGTTCTCTCTTCATTAGTTGGATATTTCTGTAAGGTGCCAGTATCCACTAAATGTAAATCACATTTTGAATCTTGACTTTTACATGCTTCTTCCAAAATACTGATTTTTTTTCCTCCATTAAAATGTGATTCAGATGCATCTGTATTCAAGGCCAGTCCTTTAAAGGTCAGTCCACTCTTTAAGCCCTGTTTAACTGTATTTGACAGCACACCCAAAGAATCTCCAAAATTATCTTTAGGATGTCCAATTTCTCTACATTTTTCAGCTCCTTCTCCAAATTTAAAATGTTGTTTAACTGAATCTTCAACACTAGGCTTTATAAGATTACCAATATTATTCATATTTCCAAAAAAGAGAGCTTCTTCTGAAAGAAGATGCCTTGCTTTAAGTAAAGATTTGTCAGTAAATGTAATTTGCTTACCACTAGCTGTATGAAAGCCATTAGTTTGTTTTTCCCTGTTTTCAGAGACATTCTCATGGTTGCATCCAAAAAAGATTTCAGTCTGATTTAGTTCTGTACTCTCTTTCATAGAAGGGATAACTTCTTTATGGCTAGCATTTATCTTCCTTTTGCAGTATGACATATTATTTATCTCTTCCTGGATATCAGAGCCAATCAACAAATTAAGTCTCTTACTTTTTTCTGCAAGTATGTTCCCATTGGTAACAGTGTGAATACTCTGTAGAAAATATTTTTCCCCCGGCTTATTTACTTTTTCCTCTTGTTCTGAAATAAAGCTTTCTTTTGCACCTGCATCACTCCAAGTATTTTTTTCGGTTTTAGCAACTTCAACTAAGCATGTTAGATCAGACAAAGTTTCTGGGCAATTATTGGTACAGCAAGTTTTCCCACAATTTACAAAATGATGTACAGGTAAAGCATTTTGATTTTTAGTGGATAACAATTCATTTTCTGATACATGTACAGAATATTTTTGAATAATTTTCAAGTTAACTTCTGTAGTGCTAGTAATCTGGACAACACTATCTTTACGGCAGTCCACATCTTTTAACCTATTTTCTGTGTCTTCTTTTACAAAAGCAATTGTATCTTTTGTGGTACCTTGTATTACATATCCAGCGGCTTCTTTTTTGGCTTTCTGAGGCCAATCAATATCTATTTCTTTCACAGGCATATGCCACCTATTGCATTTGTTTGAACCATCAGATTCTATTTTATAGGAGTTCAATATTTCACCCATTCCGTTCAGATTGCTGGCTAATTCTGTACCTCTTCTTGTAATCTCATCTTTGTTCTTAACTGAACTATGATTTCCCAGATCAGACTGTAAGGGATCTGAAATAACTTGGACAAAACATTTATTTTCTTTTCTGTTTGATTTCAGCAATATAACCTGCTCATTGCTTTGTCTGTCAACATTACATTCACCAGTATCTATATGCTTAAAGGAGGACTGATTATCACCTGGATTCTTTTGCACAAAATCGTCCACAAATCCTATATCTTTCCAATTCTTAGAATGTAAACATTTTTTATCAAAACATCTAGTCTCGTTAGTGTTATTGTACACCTTAGTCTTGTATTTTCTAAACTGAGTAAATTCAAATTGACTGTCTGTTTCTTCCAATATATTAGAAAGTTCAGTAATTTCAGCTACTTGGCTTGCTGTTAAATTTTGTTTTTTTTCAGGGTGTTGTTTTTTAAGTACATTTTGAACAGACTTATTGTCATATTCAGGAAAACAAATTTTCATATCATTTGAGTGAATAGAATTCACCATAGAATCAGAAACAGGTAAAAAGTTACATGAATGTTTATTTAGTTCATTTTGTCCAACTGAAAAATTCTCAGTATTTTCCTGTTTATTTTTACTTGAAATAGCGCCTTTTTCTTCATTCTGGAAGTCCTCAGGAAGTTGATCTTCTATATCCTTGAACAATAATTTGCCTTTTCTGATCTTATCAGCAGATAGCAGTATCTGTTTATCAGATGCAGTCTTAAAACCTTTGAATTTCTGGATTTTCCTATGACAAAGACATCCTAACTCTCTCTGCTTATTACAATTTAAACTTAGTAATGGAGGCAGTATTGTATCCATTCCTTTCTCCAATACCATAGTTTTAGATTTTGATGCTTTTGTTGAATGTGCAGTTAATTCCAAGGTTACTTGTTTATTTTCTGTTTCTGATACTTGCATTGGCACTGTACATTCTTCAATAAATGCTTGTGATGAACTATAATTTGGGAAATCAGTCTTTCTATCCACACAAGTATTACTGTCACAGATTTCATGGAGTCCTTTTTCAGCTACCTCTGTTTGATAATTAGCAGCAATATCTCTAGAAAACATTACAGTTTCTTTCTTCATATTATTTTTTAGTAGTAGTGCTGAACTATCAGTAGTGTTATGTTCGATATTTGACTTTTTACTACTTGGAGTTTCATATACCATGTTAGCAGATGTATAGCATTTTTCAGAATCTATTTGCTTGCTTGCTTTTGTGGAATGATTATCAGCACTTTTAATTTGTCCTGTAAGAAGTTGAATTATAACAGGGATGTTAATTAAAATGATATCAATAGAAACATATCCTAAATTTCTGTAGTATAATATTGTATTAAAGCCATTTTTTCAGGATGTCAGCTGAGAAGCCACAATTTTTTGCTTATTATATCTGAATTACAGATTTTTATTCTATATCTAAAAAACCATCAGATATTAAAGCATCTATATTCATTTATATTTATAGATTAAACAGAACAGATTTGTCTTTCCCAAAGAAACAGCTTTCTCTGAGATATTTAAATCTTTTTCAGTCATACCTATCTGAACAAGATGCATGTTTTTTATTTTGATTTCCTTACAAAACCACCCCAATAGAACATACTGGTAGAGTTGATTTTTTAAAAATAAAATGTGTATCTTTTCAACATACAATAAATAATTGGAATACAGTAGCACGTTCTTAGACAAATCAAGTACTTTTTTCTAGAAATATTTGAAATTACACTCTACTTTTGGAATAGTATATTCAATCTACCTTCCTCTTCATTGGTTCTTAGAGAAATCTTTCTCCATCCAGAGGTGGAAGAAAGGAGGGAAATTCCTTTATTTTTAAGGTGTGTTAATTTTACAGATATTGATCAGCAGGAGGCAGTATATGATCAGTTTCGTTCTATCTGAAACTAGTCAATTGTCAATTACTAAGATGCCAAAGCTCTGTGAGCTGTGTATACCTGATAAGCCTCAAATAGAACAAAACAGGCCTCCTGATAGTCAGTATCTGAAATTCCACTATTTTTTTTGTTCTTACAATTCACCATACTTTATTTTATCTACCTGAAAATGACTTCAGCAATATTAACATATGTACAGTATATTTTAGTAGACATTTTCAATGCAGGAAACAGAAATTACAATGCACATATGGAATTTTCAGATTTAAGTTTTAGAAGTCAATACACAAAGGAATATAAATATTGTACCTTCATTCTTGATTAGGATTTCAGAAAGTTCAGAGATACCGGTTTCTAAATTTGTACACACTGGCACAAAACAAGTAAGAGATCCATCTCTCTGTGTAGTTCCTTCTTCCTGCTGAACTAGAGAATTGTTTAGAGCATAAATGAATTTTTTGGGCCGCCTTTTCAAACTGGAAAGTGAGCTAATATTTTTCAAGCTTGACTTTGTGTGTTGTCTGTCATTGCTAGAAGCTTGATTTGAAATATTACCTAGAAGATGGCTGGAAGAACTTTTATCCTTTCTTGAGAAATCAGAGCAACTACTTTGGACTTCTGAGAATTCTGTTAAAGTTCTGCTCTTTAAGCAATAATTATTCTCTGAAAAATTTACAAAAGAAAACTCCTCATCCTCAGCATGTTTCAATGACATTGAATCATTCTTAATCAATAAAGGGGTGTTTTCGGAAACTAATAACTTTTTCGGAGATTTCATCTTACTATCTTGTATTAGACATGTTGAGTTTAACATATATGATTTTACTATTTTAGGACTACTGCATTCTTTTTTAACAGATGATGGACTACCAGGAGAACTTTTCTTGACCTGCAAGGTAGAAGATGAACTAATACCCTTCATGAATTTTTTTTCAAGCTGCGTTATTTCAAGACCAGACAAGTCCAACTGAGACCATGGATAAAGCAAAGAGGATGGCATATTCTTCTTTCTATTCACTGCATTCTGTATTTCTGGGACATTTATATTCAGGTTATATTTAGAAGATTTTAACTTTCTTTCATATTTTATTTCATTACTACTTTCCTTAGAAGCCTTAATCATTTCATATTCTCCTTCAAGTTCCTCATGATTCTTTTCATAAAAAAGAGCTTTTTTATTCTCTTCAACCGAGTTAATTTTTTTAAGAAAAACTCTGCTGTTGGCAATATTCAGAGAAAAATCATTTGTTCCATCATGATTATCTTCATCTTTTGATACATTTGATGGCTTTTGGTATCCATGTAGCTCAACAGGAAATGCATTCTTATCAAAAGACTCATTTAAAAAACTTTCAAGATCTGTAAATAATTGCAAAGCAACAGCATCAGAAGTAAAATCCCACTACAGAAATTTGGTAACAAAAAGTTATATGAGAATTCAGTCATAAAATCTAAGTAAAGGCTTATGAAATATTGATGTAGTTATTTGTACATAGAAATCTAATACCTGTTTGAAGCTAACTATTTGTAATGGTATATAGGAATAACCTTGGGAAACAGAGCAAGGAGACACAGCCAAGGAACAGGAAAATAAATTATCTTGCAGCAGAAATATGGGTGGGGCAAGAGATTCAGAAGTGCTTTCAGATTTGCAAGAGTTTGCTAATGTAACTTTGCAACAAAGTAGAATTAGTTCATCTGGTCATGTTGTCTATCTGATCTACCTATTAAGGCTAACACTATCCAAAATATTATCAATTATGGTTCATTTATTAGGCAAAAATAAACAAATACCATATTCTAATATTAAATAAAAATCTTAAAGAAAAAGAAGCAAACTAAGAGATAGGAACTGCTAATAAAGGACAAATGCTTACTGTGGATTTTGCTGTCCATTTCTGCATGTGAAATTTCAATACCTGATGAAGATTGCTTATTAATATTATTGCTCTTGAGACTTTTTTCATATTTGGAAAAAATACCATACATGATCTAAAAATCAAAGCAATGAAAAATTAATTGATAAACCTACATTAAAAAATTCTAATACCAAAAAAATGGTCATTCTTTACTTACAGTATCAATTACTTCATTATGGATCTTTGTTCCACAAATGGAATCATTTCTTCTTTCTACAATTCAAACGACAATACATATTATCCGTAGTTATTTTGTGACTCATTGGTGGAAATCAATGTTTTATGTCAAACTTGTATTTAGTGAAGCTTTCTGAGGATTTTATTCCAAAATTCAGAACATATTTAATAAAATAAACTGAACAATGAAATACTCTAATAAAACTATTGGCACTTATAAGCTTGAGCAATGCAACCCCTTGCAATGTTTGCAATGAATTATGTGTAAATATAGATCAAACCATAATTATCTCTTTTAGTTATCTTTCCTCAGATAGTTCTTGATTTACGATCGGCCATTTAGTGACTGTTTGAAGTTATGACAAATCCCCCACACAACCCATAGCCACATAATTGCATTTTGGGTGCTTGGCAACTGGCTCACTGCACATAATTATTTGCAGCATCCCACAGTCATATAATCACAATTTTTTTGATGTTTTTTTGCCAATTTTCCGGTATTTAAGTCCTGTTTCCAGGAAAAACCACCAATTGGGTAAAATGGATTCACTTAAAGACTTCTGCAAAAAATACTGAAAAATTGGTCATATGATACTTTAACCTCTGACCACAGTGACTTATGACTGTAAGTCTGGGGTCAATTATAATCATAAGACAAGGACTACTTGCAGTAGACCTATAATTATTTAATTTAACCAAACTGTTAAGAATACATTTGATTTCATATTTATTTATACTCAGTCTTTCATTCAGGAACTCAACTCACTATAATTCCTCCTATTTCTTCCTATAACAGATTAGTAAAGTATGGTGGACTGAGAGACAGCAGCTGGCTCCAAGTTAACCAGGAAGCAGTGGCTGATGATGTACTCAAATTGCATTTTCTCACTTATTGTCCATCACAGTAACCAGTATACCACACTGATTCTATTTCTACTTCTTTAACAATATTGAAAATGAAATAATAATTATCAACTGATTTCAAAAGAACAATAATTTCAATAAAATCTATAAATTATATTAATTACAATTGCAAAATGTCTTTCCCTTGTAGCTACTCTGTATTTACTGTTCTTTATCCTCACAGCTTTGTCATAACCATGTTACTTTCATTACCTATTATGACAGTTGGAGAAAGTGTAGGAGGTGTTGCTAATGAACTTGACCAAGACATATCAGGATCTGCCTCTGCTCCCAAGCTCTCAGAGATGCATTTCTGTGTCTGAACCTAAAATATAGTGAACAACCATTCACACACATACACACACACAAACATATAGTATTCTCATAATTAAAATATTTTAGAATAAAATTACCTCAAAAATCTTGGGTGTTTGTAATAAACTTTCATTTAGTACTGAAAATATAAAAGAAGGCATCAGTTCTTAGAATGAGCATATATTTATAAACTAATACAACCTTCAGTGCAATAGGTAAAGACATTAATATTTACCATAATTATTATTTTGTTTTTCTTGTACAACCGGACTGAAATATAAAGAAAAAAATAGTTATTTAAATCAAAAGCATCCTTAAACACAATTTTAATTTCTATAACTTAAAATATAATGAACAATATCCATACATACATCCAGCTCATCTAAAGTCATATTTTAAAGTCAATATGAATAATCTGAGAGCTCCTGATTCTATAGCACTAATGAGACCAAGTACAGTCCTTTATTAGTCACTTTAATTTCTCCAAAAGGCAATAATAACTATTATATAATAAGACTTTATATCATAGTTTGAAGGTAATTATTTTCTTATCTCTCTGCAGAAGTATATTTACCTATCAGAATTTATCTTTAGGAAAATTTACATATCATAAGTACCACAGGGGTATATCATTGCAGCATATATACTTCTTAGTTGGTGGAATATAGGCAACAGTATACTGGCTTGCACCGAAATCTGTGGAGTACCTACACTAGAGTAATAGCGGGGTAATATTAGGCTTTGATTGCATTTATTTTGATCAAAATGTGTCCAAACTGATTAACACAGTTCTTAAAAGATAATGGTAAATATCACATGGCCATGATTAAAATTAGTTACCTAGTGTATTTCTTTCCCATTCTACCATACTGGTCGGTGAAAGCTTCAACTGTTCAAATCTATGTTCTACCAAAGATGGGTCCATCTGTTGACAGCCACGGCATATGAAGAAAAATGTATGTATAAATGGTTCATAGGTTGAAATGAGATAATCTGAATGAAGGTGAGCTGATCTTGTAGAGTTGATAAATACATGTAGGGAAATGTAAATTTAACTATAAATGAAATAGCTAAAATGTTGTGACAAGGTATGGATCCATGTCATCTAGACTGTTATTGGTGTATATGAAAATAGAAATTCAGTGATAGCTGTTACTGTTCAGCACATTGTGATAAAAAATGAGCAGGGATGAGTTTGGGCATAATTGTGGAACATTCTCATTGAAAACCTGTTTGGTAATGTGAAATATAGATAGGATAGGGCAGATAGGAACATGGAAAATAAAGAAAAAGTGACTGGACCGTTCAGAAATCCAAAAATTAATTAAAATAATAATTTGTATATTTTTGAATATTTGAAAATGTTGGAAAATGTTGTTTCAAATTTATGGTTTAAGCATGTGTATTTGTGCATGTGTATGTATACATACACACCCACAATTTAATTGAAAAGCTTAATTGATTTGTTTTTATATGATTAAAGACCAATACTGTTAATAAAGGATACAAGAATGACAAGAGGTTCTGAATGTGGGATATACAACACACAAGAAAATCTTATGCAACCTTAGAAGGAAAAATGTAAAAAAAAGAAGAAAAGACTGAATTACTGTAGGAAAATAAAGCATAAGACTATGAATCTTTGTAATAGTGATGGAAAATCAATTGATCTTCCAACAGAATGAATGGAAAGTAGACATAATAAAAGTGCATGTGAAAGTTGTTTGGAACAGAGTGAAAAAAGTATGCTACAAATGCTTCAGAAATGTATGGAGTATGAAAAAAGGGAGAGTATGAAAAAAGATGCCTGGTAGAATAATGAAGTGAAAGCTACAAGATAGGTGCATATAGGAAGTTGACTGCTAAAAAAATTAGGAAATATGTTGTATTAAGAGAAATAGATAGTCAGAAAAATATATATTTAAAGAAGAGGTAAAATTAAAATTAAAATAAACAGAAATAATGCAGAATGATTTTGCTGGAAACATTTTTAATAAGTGAAAAACACTAAACAAGATCTTCCAGCAGAATGAAAACTATTAAAAATAAAAGTATTGAAATTATTTGGGATAATAGTGGAATATAAGAATGTGTTTCTGCCCTTTTTGTTGGGTGGGGAGAAAAAAGCAGAAAATTGTGTTGATGGAATTGATGAGATTCTTAGAAAAGGAGAAAAAAGTACTGCATGAAAAAGTCAGAGCAAGCATGTTTTGCAACAGCAAAAAGGTACAGAGAAATATATACTGAAAGAAATAAATGTTAACTATGGTAGATTTTTTTACATATTGTGCCCTAATTTGCTTGGCTATTTCTTATGCCTCCAGAAAATGTATCCACACCAATGTCACTACACTCATTTCAATATACCAAATAATTAAACCGCTAAATTCTGAGGCACTTGTTGCCATGTAGAATCAATCTTGTGTAGCAGTGAGCCAATTTGCTAGTTTGGTTGGTTAAAGGCATCAGGTAGAAACTGAATTCTAGTCTTTCCTCAGATGCAAAGCCAGCTGAGTGATTTTAGCCAGTCACTCTTTGTCAACCCTAAATGGCAACAGCAAATAATTTCTAAAAAATGATACCAAGAAATCATCATGGATATGTCCAAGCACTGTGATATTACCTTGATTCAAAAGGTAAATTTAGCTGTAATAATGGAATTCTTTTTTGTGTTGTTATAGACAAGATCTATATTTGCATCAGCACCACAGATAAATAAATGAGATGCACCTTGCAATGACACAGGAACTAGAAAGATTCATTCCTTCATTTGATTCACCCACTTGTGTCCTCAGTGTAGGCATTTCACAGAAAGTTTTACCTGTATCAAAGAAATGTAAGCAAAAAAACCCCTCTTTCACTGATAGTTCAATTGCTTTCTACATTTGTCTAATTTAATCTTGAAGGCTACAGGAAGTAAGTTTGTTACTTAACCATTTTTTAACCATTTAAACCATTTCTAGCCTCACAATTCCATTGCCCTCTTTGCTTATGCTCACTTTCCCCCTTTTAAGTTAAATCAGTTTAAATAAAATCTAGTAATCCAGGATCTAGTTCAGCCAAACATGGAAGAGCTTTCCTTCCCCTTAAGGGCTTTTGGGATTTTAGCTATGTAAATTAATAGCCTTCTTGAGAATTAAAACTGCTTATAGCAGGGGTGTCAAACTGCTGGCCCGTGGGCCAGATCCATCATGTTAAAACCGCACCCACCCCATTGCCGGCAATGGAAAAAAAGTCATGATACGTTGGGACACGTCACGTGACGTTGCGAGTTTGACACCCCTGGCTTATAGAAATGAGATCCTGTCATTAATATTATGTGTGTGTGATAATTTTTTAGTCTTTGACTATAAAATTAAATAAATTTTTACCAGAAATAGCAAAACCATTTGGTTAACTAAAACTTACAAATTTATGAGAAAGGATACTGAAGTTAAATATTTGATAGTAGTAATTACTAGATTTATTTATTTATAAAATTTATAGACCACTCATCCTACCTCAACTTAATCTCCATCTAGATTCTATTTTTCCTTTAAGATCTCCTTTAAGGCAAACACTAGGATCTCTATTCTTTTTATTTATCCTTCAAAACCCACTCTTATGGGTTAAGTTCACTTGAGCAATAGTATTTGAATGAGTTAGTGAATTCCACAGAGGGAATGGGTTTTAAATATGGGTCTTCCCTTTCAGTACCAGTTGCACATTGGCTTGGTTACTCTGAATCTGCTGTCAATTTCTTCTTATTGGTGGGTATTACCCTTTTGGAAACTTAAAGAATGATATTCAAAGAACATAAAAGATTAAATCTATAAAACAGTTTACAGAGATTTTGCAAATCTATATTTTAAATAAAGTGAGTGAATATAAAAGATAAAGATTTTCCTGTCCAGTCGTGTCTGACGTTAAGGTACGATGCTTATCTCTATTTCTTGGCTTTGTCCTAAGACATTTTCTGTGGTTATGTGGCCAGCATGGCTATACGCCAAAGGCGCACAGAATGCTGTTACCTTCCCACCGAAGTGATACCTATTAATCTACTTGCATTTGCATGCTTTCGAACTGCTAGATGGGCAGGAGCTAGGACAGGAATGCGAGCTCACCCTGTTGTGTGGTGCTCGGGTCTTGAACCCGGACTGTCAGCTTTCAAGCTCAATGTTTTTAACCCCTGAGCCATTGGGCCCTGAGTAAATAGTAATGATTAATAAAACATATGAAGCCCCAAGAATATTCTAAAGATACAGATGTTAAATATAATTTTAACAAAACATTACAATGTTGAAAATGCTTCAGAAATTAGAGTGCTAATTAAGAATATGGAGCATTTAGTGATTCAGAAATTTCAGAGAATTCCATTTTCTCCCGACTATGCCATTCCAAGCACAATTGCAACTTACAGACGTCCTTTGAACCATTGGTATTCTAGAGAATCTGGATGATCCCTTTCCTATTGTGCTTCATGGCCAGACTACCCTTGAAATACCTCAACTCTTCCTAGCTCAAAGGTTTTTTGAAACTGATCCACCACTGTAGAAAGAGAAAGGTTTTGAAGGAAACAAAATGCTCTGTTCCTAGATCAATGAATGTTGCCTTTAAGATGCAAGCAAAAAGTTGAAATATAGTAGATTACCTAATACATACTAGACAATATATATCCAGGATGAAATCCGGTCTATACACTTTCAGTTTATACCCAGAAATGGTTGAAATTGTCTTCTATTGTTTCATGCTTTTATGGAGATAGGGCAAAAGCTGTTGTTTTATAATTATCAACCCAACATTCCAACTTTATACGAGCCACAATGTTTGAGCTGACACCTAATATCCCCTAAATTAGTCACTTTTCTACTTGTGGACCTTTATGTAGCCAGAAAAGTACAATTTCCACAGAAAAGGTATCTGCATTGTAACATTCCATTTTCATACTACATCCATTTTGTAAATGCTACACATACAAAAATGTTTACAATGTTGGTTACATATTATTTCTTACCTTACCTGTTTCTTCACTGGACTGAGCTGATTTTTCTACAGGAGAAGTAAATGTTTTTAAATTTTTATTCCGGTCTTTAAAAATCATGGGAGTTGATACTGATGAGTTATTTATAGACAACTTTCCTTTTGGGGTTTTGAAAGTATTTTGATCCATAGTTTTGTGTAAGGGGTCTTCTGTTTTATTCACATCATAAGGTGGAGCTTCTGAGCTGAGTTCTTCAAACCAATTGAGACTTATTGGTCCTAGGTCTAAGAAAAGCAATCAATACATTATTTAATGTATGTTTCAAGTTATAATGTAATGATTATTACTATATTAATAATTGTTTCCACTACATTCTACATAGAAGTAACTAACAACTAACTGCAAGCTTCTCTGTTATCAGCAGAAAGATTCACCTCCATGCCAAATCAATGGAAGGCTTTTAGAAAGAGAAACAAAGTCTCCAGCTAATGTATATGTTAATGCCAATTGGGAAACAGCTCAATTGCTGGAGCTGTTGTAATCCCATCTTTTCTTCTCAATATATTTGCTAATATATAATAATATATTAATAAAATAATTATGGTTTATCGCACATTAATTATATTATTTATAATCACAGACAATAACAGAAAAAGGTGAAAAAAACATGAAAACCCTGACAGTAGCTACAATTAAGTGTGCAGTTTCATTTTAATTGTATACCAATCTTCCTAGGTTTTCTTTAACTCTTTTTCTAACTTGTCATTCTGAAACTGGGGAAGCAGCTATCCCCTCTCAGACCAAGGAATATCAAAATAATTTCAATCTTGTCTCTAGTACAAGTAGGAAATAATATCCACTATTAGATACATTGTATCACCTATAGAAAATGAACTTGCAATGTACTATTTACAAAGGTAATTTTGTAAATCGTATTTCAAGGAAAAAGTTTCATATAGGCTGTCCTCGACTGACAATTTCTTCAGCGACTGTTCAGAGCACAATGGTACTGAATTAAGGGACTTATAACCTGTTCCAATATTTGGTCAAAATTTGGACTCTTGGCACTCAATCCACACTTGCAACCACAAGGGCGCTGCAACTCCCACCTGCCTATCTGATCACCATTTATGCTTTTTTGGTTCTCTGCTGTCTCCCCATCGACTTTTGCTGCTGTTTTCTTCCTCCCACTACTGCTGAGGCATACCTGGCCTGGCTGCTATGCTGTATGGTGCTGGCTTCATGCAAAGAAAAAAGGATTCCCTTCCCGTCCCCGTCTCTCCCCCCCCCCCGCCAAAAGCAGCTTGAATTGAAATAGTACCTGATTCGATGTATTGTGTTTTGAATATTTCAAAGAAAGATGGTTTCTTTGCAGATGTATCAACATTTTTCTTATCCATTACACTGCTGATACAATTAAGAAAGTCTGCAAAATAAAGAGTTCTCAAAATTATATTACTTTATCATATTTGACAGAAATTCTATTTTGTTTTCTTCTACATTGTTTTGTCATCATATACCCTCCCCACAAGAAATGCAAACATTTATGGTCACAGCACTAACATCATGAATAAACCAATAAGATAAAATAAAGTTGTATAATTTATAGCTTATATAAAAATACCAGGTGAAATTTATTTTGACAAATTACGAGGGCTGGTTCAAACATAGATCTAGAAGTCTCTTAAACAGAATCTAAAGACTAAAAACAGACTACAGGATTTTGTAATGTCTAATTCCGTTAATTGACTGGCAAGAGAGTCAAGACAAAATATAATCAATGAAAACTGCTGGCAGTCTTTGTTGTGTAATGACTATAGTAGTTGATCTTTAAGGGAAATTAGATCAGACTTTTAAATTGGTATGTTGTTTCAAAATGGATGGTTTATTTATAAGACTCATTATTCCTATGCAGAATTGTAACATGTTTTTAAGTATGTAACATCTACCTATAAGTATTGCCACAACAAACCCAAAAATATAGGGGAAAAAATCCTGCAACTGCAAGTATTTTATAGAAACAAACTGCTTGAAACTGAAAGTAATGATATTATAGGAATAAGCTACATCCTACACTGGACAATATCGTAATTTTTCAGAAACTGAATGATAGGATTATATTTGTATACAGTCAAGACTTCCTCATATTTGTTAAACTAGTAACAAATTGCCAGGAATTAACATATGGTGTTTAAAACCTGTGAATCCTCTTGAATTTTTAATATTTCTGCATAAATATGACCTAAAATGTGATCTGTTGTCCACACAAGTTCTAAAACTAGATAACAAATCAATTGGGGAAATGTGTCAAAAACATATTTGTTCATTTATTGAGGAAAATGATACAAAGCTACATATTTCTATATGGCAAGAGTATATGAACCTCTGGGATTATCAGTTCATTTGAAAGGGAAACTAGCATCACATGTTTCAATTAGTGGGATGATAACTAGGTGGTTATGAAGGTGGGAGGTCCTGTCTTATTTTAAGAATGAAAATGTAGGATCTTTGCAACACAGGCATGGAAGAAGTGTGTCATGGCTTGAACAAAAGAGACTTCTGATGACCTCTGGAAAAGAATTAATCGAGGCACATTGGCAGGAAAAGAGTTACAAACTATATCTAAATAGTTTAGATTCTACCAGTCTGTCAGGTGCCAGGAAGATTGTGTATAAATGGAGACAACTTAACCCTATTGTTATTTTACCCAGAAGTGATCAACAGACCAAGAGCATACCAAGGGTAAGGTGCATAATGCTCTGGGAGAACCTCATGATAATGTCAAAGAAACCGAAGGCCTATCTTGAACTGATGAATGTCAGGATTCATGAGACCACCATTAGGAGAATACTGAACAATGGTAGAATAGAATATAGAATAGAAATGTTGTTGTCAGCATACGTTAAAATGAAATTTCACTGCATTCAGCTCTCAAAAAATACCATTATGCATATAACCACATACACACACACATACACACATGGCAGAAAAAAAGAATCCTGTGAATTTACAAGATGGATGGTATAAGGAACAAAGCTGTTACAGAATCTAGTAGTTCTGCTATAAATACTTCGAAACCTCCTCCCAGAGGGGAGCAACAGAAACAAACTGTGAAGTGGGTGTGTGGGGTCTCTAACAAAGCTTTGAGCTCTAAGCACATAGCGTTTATAAGCAGTATCCTGAATAATGGGAAACGAGCTTCCTATAATCTTCTCAGCTGTCCTTTCAGTCGTGCCTCTGTAAAAAGTGGTCAGGACTAAAGGAGAAAGATATGCTCTCATTTGACACAGGAAATGCAAACACTAGTTTGCACGCTTCACTAAAGATAATGTGTGAAGAGACCAAGTCAAATTGTTGCCAGTTATCTGCACTCCCAGGTACTTAATACTACTGATCACCTCCACAACTGCAGCCTT